AGCAAGTCGACGCTTTTTAAAAAAAATGATGTAAAAATGCTATTTCTTTTTATTGTGGCAGAACTTTTGATATGAAGAAAGCTGCAGTTGTGCTCCCTGTTTATCTCACCACAGAGGTGTGGAAAAGTGTGAACTGTTTCCTCTTTGCTCACTAGCAGCTCAACACAGTCATAATATTTCACACACAGCAATCCAACAGTGTCCTAATTAATCTGACCACACAGTTATGGGGAAAATATTTTCTGAGTATATTAATTAAAAATGTCTAATCGATTTCCATTGCACTGGCGGAATGTCCACTAGGAAACCTGCAGAAAGAGGCTGACTTTTTAAAAATGGGCTCAGACACATACTAGAAAATGCTGTAAATACAGGCTAATTGATTTTGCTGCTCTGCCAGAGCCATTAAATTAAAGCAATGTTTAGAGTACTTCAGTCAAATTGAAAACGAGTCAAGATTAATTGCTTCTAAATATAATCAAAACGCACATATACTTGTCAGAGGAGTGCTGCGAGTGGATCATTCAGGATATGAACCTACAGTGACTGCAGCTAATTAGAAACCGGTAAACAGATTTCTGTGAGATGCAATTGAAAATATGGTATAAAATGAGACCTGTTTTGAGAGCAAATAAACACAGACCTTCACTTTTGAGATCCACTATGACATTTGAAAGAAGTTAGTACTGGAACACTTCACAGAAGACAGCAAATAAACTGTCTTCCACTCTGGGCTCAATGTACTAAGCCAGATGTCTTTGAATCCAAACAGAGCACCAACAACACATTAGGCAAGTGGTTATAATGCTTCGGCTCATCACTATACATGTAAGAAGATACAGTGTAACATATGATGCAGCATCTATATGAGCATGCAGTGCGGGTTTTGCATCAAGGTTACATCAAGGCACATTTCTCGCTGTGCCCATGCTTGTATGTACATCTGGCCCCCAGTAGTTCTTTGCCACAAATAAAACTAGATGAACAGAAGCTTTTAGCCTAATCTCATGTTTAACAAGCACATGTCCCCATAGTGCACATTCTCTACTAGAGAAAACTAGAGAAACTTGATTAAACATCAGATTCTTCAAACACAGATCAGACTTGATAAATTCACCATAGGGCTAGGGATTTTACCTAGTAGTAAACACTGAATTATTTATATAAAGGGCAATAAAAATAAAAAAAGAAAAGGCCACATGTCAAGAGGATATGAATATTAAAGGAGGGTTTTAAGCCACAATATTTCAATCTTTCAAATACTACTTAAATACTCCATATTGTCCATGTTTTACCTTTTGAAAATAATCCAAGGGTGAAATGTTAATGGCTTAGACTAATACAAAGAAAACACGAGCAGAGAAAGAAGCACACAAAGATCACAAACCTGAACCAGGAACATGCAACATTAATATCAAACAATGCTGGCTGGAGAACAAAGTAAACACCCCCTGTTTATATAAAACAGAAGACAAGGAACACCTGAGACTCATGAAAGGGCGGGGCTAGAAAACAAGGAACAGGTGAAGGCTGAAGTCAGGGCAGGACAGGGGAGGAGCTAACACAACAGCAAAAGCACATGGCACTGGGAAACAAGGGCACATAGTAGATGGAAACAAAAGCACATGACAGGGAAACAAGAAAACAAAGGCACATGGCAAGAAAAAAAATGGCAAAAATAGAGAAAGACACGGACAGAGAGTGACCAGATGTTACAGTGGGACAGTGTGAGCACACTTGCCCGGAGCGGTGAGCAGCCCTATCAGCAGTGCCCGGGGAGCAGCTGGGGGTTAGGCGCCTTGCTCTAGGGCACCTCAGTCATATACTGACGACTCAGGGGATCGAACCGGTGACCGTCTGGTCATAAGGCTGGTTCCCTAACCTCCAGCCCACGTCTGCCCCCATGAGGAATATTTTAAATGCACAACTCTGTCACACTTCACAGAAATATTTCATTCCAAAAGGCCTGTTAATAACTAAGGTTACAAGAGTAGCCTACTTGAGAAGAAAAATGAACTTTATTTATAATTTATTTGAAATCTATGACTTTATGATTAACAGGTTAATTTATTTTCATGTTGTGTGTGACAGACATGCCCTCAGGCGGCAAGGCGCTGGTGAAGAAAAAGGAGGAATAATTCCAGTGGATAAGTACCATTATTACTGGATGCGAAACGGTCAAGCTCATACTGAGATTTCTGTCTTTAGTTCAGCTGCAGATAAACATGAATATTAACAGCTCTGCAAATGTAAACACAATGTAAGACTGAGGTCCTTACTAAAACTCTACTCCTAAAAAGAATAACAAAAATAAGAGATGAGATTACTGAAGTCTTTTGCTCAGGAGAAATATCTGAGCAGCAGGAGAGACTTAAAAGAGGTCTTTCCATATGTCTTGACTAGGAGAAAGCTCCAGATGCTGATCCATTTTACTATTGCCTAAGTGGACATGCACACGATCCTACTACCTGAAGATTTTGATGATTTAAAGGAGACATAGACATAATGTTAGGCAAGATAGGGTGAAAAGGAAACCAATATCTTCTCTCAAAGATGAGAAACGATGTAGAAAGAGGTGTGGTAATTTTTTGTAATCACTCCAGCCTTGCGCTACCACATGAGACCACTGTTGCATAAGAAGCTGGAGTGGCTAAATGGTTCCCAGAATAAAACTACTCCTGAAGTACTGCAAATGAAAAAGAGTCTACAATGATGATTCAAATGTAGGGATGCATCAATACCATTTTTCAGAACATTTTTAGTTGTTGCTCATATTGAGGCCGATACCATACAGAGTAAACCTGCATAGAATTAAGTAGTTGTTAGTGTAGATGAGTGTACCCTAACAGTTAAATCATTCAAATCTAGCTGATTTTCAAAGATGTGAACTAGCTAGCTATGTTACATTTGTTACCTTGTTGACTGAGTAGAGCTGCAGTAGAGAAAAGTTTTTTTTCACGTCCGAAAAGTGCCTCTGTACAGCTGTAAATAAAGTATGTTTCATAGTTTTGAACCTCAATCTGTCTCTTTCAACAACATTCGCTGTGGTACAGTGACAGCAGGGAGCACATCTGAGGCTAATGTATCTCAGGGGTGGAGTTTTATGTCTGAAGTCTTTTGACTGGCTGGTTAAGCTGCAGCTGAATGTCCTCTAAAGCCAGACATGCACTGTGTGATTGTAAAAATCTTGTTCTTTGGTGACACACACTATACATTCGAATAAACTATCATGTACGGACAATTTATGTACTCACACTGTATGAAAACAGACCTTCCATGCTACAGGGAACGCCTGCCCCAGGCGGTGATGGACGCAGAAGGACAATACAGTCTCTTCACAGCCTATTTTACTAAAAAGTCTGCATTAACGTGCCCTGTGATGGACTGGCGATCTGTCCAGGGTGTATCCTGCCTTCCGCCCAGTGACCACTGGTATAGGCTCCAGCACCCCCCGAGACCCAGAAGGATAAGCGGTTTCAGATGATGTGTGCGTGCGTGTTCTGTTTAGTCAGAGTAAAGTCACAAAGACGGACTTTGCCAGAAAATGTCGACTTTTCCATCTCTGTTTAGCGTAATATTATGTAATATTTCAGTATATAGCTGAAATGACAAGAAAGCCTCTTGAATATATATACATACACACAGCCAAGCTACTATTTTTTTTCCCATGACTCATTTTTAGGCATCTGTTGTGACATCTGTCTCAATGGGCATTCATCATCAATAATGACTTTAATGTGCAACTGACTCCCACATGGCAATACGATGATCACATTCGCACATTCAAAGAAGTAAGGAGGTAAGAGCAGTGCTGTGATTAATATGGAATTCTTCATTTATTATTAATCGTGTAAAAGAAGCATAGTTTCTGCTCATTAAGGAAAGTTGAATTCCTGAAGTTACATGATTACCTAAGTTTTACAGTTGAACTTTGTGTAACAAGGGCAGACACACATGGGAAATGTAACATTATAGAATCACTTAAAGGTGCAACCACTATGCTTCAGAATAGGCCAAGACTACAAAACACTACAATTACTTAAAACTATAATCAATAGATTCTTAGGAATGTTTTTTTTTGGCCTGTTCAGTTTGCAATATATATGATATTTTACTCATTTTCTCATGGTGACTCTCACAGGAACAAGTATTTTTTTTTACCAAATCTTTCTCAGGTACACTTATTACCTAGGTCTCCCCCAGTGCTACTAAGCTAGGGGGTGATGGCTAGCACATGGTACTTCCAAGTCACATGAAGCACCGTCACATCTTTACAAACTGCCGCTAATGCAACATCACTGTATAGCTCAACGTGCTCAGAGCAGATTATTAACTGCCGATTCTGTAATGTCAGCTAACAGACTTTAGCTCGCATTGCATTAACTGTCAGACATTAGCTAGCATCGTGCTGAGTGATGAGAGGGATCATCCCCTCCTTGAGAGAGGGACAGCGATGCTCTCTTGCACTCCTGGCCACAAATAGAACTTGTGATCTCCTGATAATAGAGCCAATGTTTACATTGCACGCACACAACCTTCGATTAGTTGATCTCAGAGCAGGCAGGCAGCAATTTCCACTGGATTGCATGTTCATACAAACTACATTTTTAAAGTAATATAAGAGTTTCAACCATCGTTTAATCAGCAATTATTCTTTTATTCCGTAACATTCCACTCACATAACTGGTTAAGCTATTCTTAGGTTATAGAAGTGTGTGACTAATCTTTGGACATACTGGACATTTAAGGGGTTAAACATGGCCGTGGTTATCGTTATGAAATCAGGAGATGCTTTCTTCTTTCTCAGCTTTCCCTCTGTTTTCATGTAAACACAATTAAACAAATATACAACAGAAACGAAGGTCAGTGACAGCAGGCAGCACTCAAGTTCTGCATGAAATGAAACCCTTTCTACATGTGTTTGCATGATGCTGCCAAAGACTATCTACATTAAACATTCACACCAGCTGTTCTTAATATGTTTATGGAAAGCTTTTTACCTGTCCCACATGTGGCACTGCACTTTGTCCAGGCTCCATGCTTCCACTGGAAATCTGAGGCAGGGGTGCCACTGATAGACTCCTGCAGGCTCTCTCTGCTGATGGTGTATTCATACCTCACTCCTGGGTTCGTCTCCTGAAAGAGCAGCTGGAGCACAGTGACAGCAGATTAAGGAGAACGGCAAGCAAAAGCACACACACAAACACAGACACAAAGTGACACGAAATCAAAAGGGCAATGGCCAGAACCATGTAAACAGCAGACCTTGCTTCTCTGCCACATATGGGTCTGGGGAGATGAATCTACTGAATGTTGAAGCATGTTCACCACTGTGTTACACCATCTTTACAGATGTGGATGTTACCCATGCCGTGGGCACTAATCTACTCTGATATCACAACAGACCCTGGCTTCATAACTTTACATTGGTAGCAATCTGGACGGTCCTTTTTTTCTTTCTTTTTGGCCCAGAGAAGGCAATGTCCATTACTTCCATAACAATCTGACTTCCATAACAAAGGCTGACTTGTCAGATCACAGCACATGTTACCACCATGCATCATTTCATTTCAGATGAACTTGAGCCTAGAGAAGTCAGTGGTGTTTCTGGATGTTGTTGACATCTGGCTTCCACTGTGCACAGTACAGTCTTAACTTGCGTTGCGTATGCAAGTACAAACAGTGTTTATTGACAGTGGTTAGTCTGAGCATTCCCAAGCCCATATGGTGTCACAAAAGCTTGCCAGTTTTTAATGCTGTGTTTGTGGTTTTCAGCCTTATCCTTTACACACAGAGATTTCTCTGGCTTACTGGAATCTTCTGATGATATTAGGTACCGCAGATGGTGAAATACATAAAATCCTTGCAGTCGCTCATTGAGGAATGCTGTTCTTAAACTGGATTATTCGCTGATGCGTTTCTTCGGCAAAGTGGCGAGCCAAGACTCATCCTTCCTTGAAATGGACTAGGCTTCCCCTGAATGCTGCTTTAATAATCAAGCATGACTGCATCAACTGTTTAAGACATTTTTTAACATTTCACAATGTTCCTAGTCTTAAATTGTCCCTCTCGCTACTTTTTTGAAAGGGGCTGCAGGCATTAATTTTAGAATGTGTGTATATTTACAAAAAAAGTCAATGAAGTTAACAAGGCAAAGCATTAAATCTTATCTTTGTCATTTAGCTTGTCTTTGTACTGTTTTTGGTTTAATACAGGTAACTGCCTAAATACAAATCACTACGTTCTCTTTTTATTTCACAACTTTTTTGGATTAGAGAATTGTAGCAAAACGCCAGTAAGCCAAAACCAAAAAATAAGACAATTTAGAGAACTGTAAGTGGAGCTGTAAATGTTTCTAAAATAATTGAGAAACACCTCATATTTCAAAGTTTGTGACTTTTGTTAACAAACAATAACAGCATATTTTTGATCATTGAATAACTTTTTGTATAAAAGACCTGGTTTCTAATATTTAGATCTACAGATTATTTTCAAAACGTTTCAACAGCAGCATAAATTCATCAGTGCAATGCTGTCCTCAGTTAAAATATTCTGACAAGGCAAATGGTCAGCCAGACAGGGGTGATCTTGACCACTAAGACAGAAACACTGGATAAGACTTTTCCTCCCAACACATATTTTAAACCAAACCACTCAAACATGCTGTGAGCCCAAAAGCCCATTAGCAGTCTGACAGCACCTGAGTAGGGAAGCTGCTCTGAAGCACTCGGGATCCCTGAGCATGGAGGGAAGTAACGAGCATCATTACTGTGCTGTCAAGCCGCCTGTCTCAGCACACTACACTACTCTCCCACCCACATGTGGGTCGCTTGCCAAGGGGATGCGGATGCCTCCATGGGAGGAGGCCTTTTATGTGCGGCTCCCCCCACCTGCCCTCTATCACTAATGAATCCTGCCAGCACTTTCATGTGACTGGAGCACAGAGCTGTGGCTTAAATTAAAGCTATGTTTTGATACTTATCTATTTTCTATAATTAATCAATCAAGGGAGGATAGTTCAACCTCTTAAACCGCATACGTTAATTTCTCACTCTTGTAACTACATAATTTACACATTCATATTTTCGGTCTTGGCGCATTATCGATGAACTAAAATCACATTAAATATACATATTCAAAACATTTTCAAAACATTTATATATATATATATATATATATATATATATATATATAGTCAAAACATTTTCAAGGCAACATTAAACCAAAAAGTATTGAATAACCAAAAGAACAGTGGAATGAGTTGGATTGGCGACTGTTATTCAGAACTAATCATCCAACATCAGTACACACTTAAAAGTGATGGTTATCCCAGGGTTCTTTAGTAAAGAAAATGGTTCTATATAAAACCATGAACATGAAAAGGGTTCTATATAGCACCAAAAAGGGTTCCTCTATTATTACAAGCTTGACATCGTAACAGTAGAAGAACCCTTTTTGGTGCTATATAGAACTCTTTTCAAAAAGGTTCGATACAAAACCTGAAGAACACTTTCACGATGCAAAAGACCTTTTAATCATTCAAAGGGTTCTTGGACTGCTCATGTTCTATATAGAATAATTTTCTTAACTAAAGACCCTTGAAGAACCTTTTTTTTAAGTGAAATACCTGACTTTACAAACGCATATGTGGATGAATGCAATGAAATCCTCACAGCAATATTCCAAGATCTAGAAGAAAGCCTTCCCATGAGAGCAGAGGCTCCTTTTTACCCTTAAAACCCTTGGAACGTATGCTGGAAAGGCAAGTGTCTACTTTTTAACAAAAGTGGACCTAAAAGGTTTATATAACTTTAAAGTCTATTTTAGTTACAGCCACCATTCAACCAGAGAAAAGGCGGCAACGTAATGGTAACAATTACTAAGATTAATACACAGTGCTGTGCAAAAGACACCGCCTTTCATTAATTTAACTTCCAGGCAAAATGGCCATTCAATTCAAATTAAGCGTTTTTCCGGAGGTACTTCAGAAGAGATTAGATTTGGGATAATCCACTTGCATAAGAAAGGAAAAAGTCAAAGTCAGGGTTTCCAAAATAAGTGAAAACTAAGCATTTTCAAAACTGGAGTTCAAAAAACTGTTAAAAGATACAGAGAAAATGGGACATCAAGCAACCATGCAAGACCAGGTAGACCACCAAAACTGTCCCCATCAGATAAACAGCACTTAAAGCTTTCATCTTTGCGCGACAGATGGTTCTCCCCATCCTTCCACTGTGAGAAGACAACTTAACACTATGGGTCTGAAAGGATGTGTAGCTGTCAAGAGGCCCTTACTGAGAAATGAAAATAGATAAGAAGTTCTCAGAACAACAGACTGGCCACCCCAGAGTTCAGACCTCAACATCATTAAATGTGTTTAGGGTTACTCGGATCGTGAGAAGCAGAAAATGCAACCAACTTCTAAGACTCAACTTTGAAGGTGTGGAAAAATATCCCTGCAGATTTCTTTGAAAAACTAAAAGTGAGTCTCCTTAAAAAATGAAAGCTGCATAAAGGCAAAAAGTGGACACAATAAATACTGAAAAAATTAATATTATATTTAGCTGTTAAGGCTAAGTTCTGTATAATTTTCCGTTTGATGTGTTTTTTTTTCCTTACATTGAAAAATAACTAATTAACTTGTACTTAATATTTGTTGACTGAAAATTAAATAAATGAATTGTGGTGGACGTCTGTACAGCAGTGTTCATCCATAGTGACCAAATCACTACACTTCTGTGTTTTATTACGTGTAATGCAGTGTTTGATGCAAGTGGCCAAGAAAAATGTCAATTTTATGTAAGGAAAAGAAATATTATGATATTAGTTAATAACTTACAAATACACCTAAGAGGTTTATTTAAGGGGTTAAACACTCTGACAGTTTAGCACTGATGTTAGTATCTGCCATACAACAAAAAAAATTAATCCGCACAAAGATTTTTTTTTGCTTTGTACATTGTCTGAACGCCAATCTGTTGTAAGAAAAAAAAACAAAACAAACAAAACAGAACAAACAATAATAACAACAAGGAAATAGAAAAGTTTATGATTAAAAATAAATCCCCAGAGACTATAAGCATTTGAAGCACCAGGGGTTCGGTCTTTGATTTGCCTAACCTTGAAAGATAAAGACAGTTTAATTTTCTCAGTTCAATCATTTATTTTCTTCATGCTGACTGCAATACAGGGAACTGTAGCTTTGAAAGTTGAAGGAGACGCGGCTCATCTGATGCTGTTTCATAATCCTATACGCAAGCCTCTCCTCCACGCTTCCTACGGAAGCAGATCAGTCACAGTGAGAAATCGTATTTATATCACAACTTCACTATCTTGTGCGGCCCAGAGGAGCACAGGTCCCCTTTTTGAGGCTTGGTGGGATTTTTTCCTGCCACTGTCACCCTCAGCTTGGGGTCTCCATACAGATTACATTAAAGCTGCTTTGTGAAAAAATGTCTATTGTAAAAACAACTATGCAAATAAACAGAAGCTATTAAAAGAACTGTTTAGGACAAGAAGGGTCTTCCAAACGATGACATAAGGTAAAGCTAACTTCTTCTTTTGCATGGGTTGCATAACCAAGCTGTAGGATGAATAAGGTAGTGATGATGTTCTAAAACAATCTTAATTGGTAATTACATGGATATAATGTATTACATTTTAAAAAGTGTCCTAAATGTTTGACTTGCAGTGCAGTAAAGTTTGAAATGAAGAAAATTTAGCTTTTTTTATCTGAACAAAATTTTTGCTTTGCATTGTTTTTATTAAAACTACTGAGTTGAATAAAACCAGTAAAATTGCTTGCTAACACAAAGTTATTTTGAGGTTGAACTGTTTTTTTTCTGTGTATGTGTACTTATATATGGATGGATTTGTACTCTCCTGTGTATTTTCAAATCATAATACTTTTACTACTACTCAAGCATATTACTGAGTAAAGGACTCTACTTTTAACTCAGCGTTTGGCATTTTCTTTTAGACTGAAAGAGACGAATAGAGTAACTTCAGTCCCTCTGCTGATTTACTAAGAAGTTTCCGTGCAGTTCTACAAGTTACTCAGTACCTCAGTAGTTTTTTTGACAATACTTTTGCACTTCTACTCAAGATGCTTTTTTTTTTTGGAAGATACTTTTACTTGAGTCTTTATTTTACCCAAATATTAATATTTTTATTTGGGTATGGGTCTACTCCACCCACCTCTGGGAAGAACATATTTTTCAGACAGACTGTCTAGAAAGTGACAGCAAAGCATCTCACTCTTTGTGTGCAGGCTGGGTCCAAGAATTGGAGTCAACTTTTGATTCCCAAATGCCCGGAATCTGACCACCTCCCAGCCCTAGTTCTCACACAAAGCTGAGTGGCAAACCTCTTACTAATGGTAAAATCACAGTGACGCATGGCCTCGTGTGGCTTATTGCTTTTATAAAATGGTAGCAATATTAATTATGATCAAACACACATAAATAATTTAAGTTATAATTTATAATAACTGCAATAAACAATTATTCCACCAATTTGTTTAGAGCATGGGTGCACAACTCCAGTCCTAGAGGGCCCAGCACAGTTCTGTAGTTTTGCTATTCAAACACACCTACTAAACCTACCAATTAAACAATGAGTGTGTTTGAGCAGGTAAATCACCCAACTGGACGCCGGTCCTCCAGGATTGGAGCTGTGCACCCCTTGTTTGAAGTACACTGTTATTACAGAAGAGAACAAGAACAGTCACCCATCATTTTACATTATCATTATATATCGCAGTCATTTAATTATCTTTATAATGTTTATATGAAGCAATAAACCCATAACATAGCAGTGTTTAATGCATAAACTTTCGCTTTACAAGTAGTTTCTGGTTACCATTTTGCCTACGCAATGCCAGTGCTACTTCACGTTAGTGCCTCAAACTGATTTCCTGTGTTGTGTTAGCATCAAGCTAAGGCTGATGCACATTTGTTTTCCTACACAGGGTTTAAGGCTACTTAAGACAGCTGTTACTAAAAAGACAGACATGTATAGCATGTAAGATATTCAAGTAACATAACCTTTACCTTTTTTAGTTGTACATTGAATTGTTCAGTGATTCAAGGCCTAACACTGAATATTAACAGAGAAGCGGTTTAGCCTCTTAGCTATCATTTAGCCCAGTTGTTTAGAAAATGTGCTGTCTGCCTCTGAGGTTCAATAAAACCAGGTTCTTACTTCATGTATCAATACACTTAGTGGTCCATGTGAGCAAAATAACAGTCCATTTACACCTTGACTTGGTGCAGTAACACAGAATTCAATTGTTGTGAAGCAGTCATTTGAGTGCACATGCTGACCATTTTACAACATTTTTTGTCCTTTTTTGTTGTTTGAGAGACAATCCACTGCTTTTCAGCGACCATAAAGTATAACCACAACCATAATTGAACCGATAACTGTAAACAGCATGTTTCACTGGAAGCTGTGTTTCTTTAGAATTCAGTTTTCCATGCCAAGAGAAGTAGTGTTTGGCAAAGGCAGTACATATTCCCAATGGATCAGCAACTGGCCTACTTAACTCACAAGACTCAGGAGGACAGGAGGTGCAGCATTTTTCATGAGCTCATAAATCAGACACCCTGTTACTTAATCTTTCAGCGTCCGAAAACAAGTCTTTTGCACTAAGGGTGAGCAAAACAATGATATGATATTACAGTAAGCGTACGCTTTTCTGAGGAATTGTGGTTACTGTGTTGGCCAAAGTGCAATGCTGCGCAACACATGACGTAATTAAACATAAAAAGTGCACTTCAAAGCATTTCAAAAGCATTTATTCCTTTTAGGCTAACACAAAATAGCAGCTACTTCTGTGGTTTATCCACTCTTGTCCATTAATAACGTGGTTCTTAATGCTGTTGTGGCACTTGTTGTAAAGAATATCATCTAACAAATCACGTTTAATGTATATGACATTAAGTTTGTGTCAAAAACATGAAAATCTTTTAATCATTAGTCTAATCAAACAAATCGGTTATATATAAATTATAATATAATAAGCATTTATCAATCTAAACTGCACTCTGAATGATCTTGCATGCTCACTCTCAAAACATCACAGCGCATCCAACAATACTTGTGCCTCGTGCATCTTTTATAGAGTGATAGAAAACATGGTAGCACACTGAAGGCTCCCACTGTACATGCTGATCCATTTTACTGTGGCCAACGTATGACATGCATACACTGTAACTCCTCTGGTGGCAGATTTAAAGGGCACATTACCAAAGTCTCTGGTGAGACGTTCAGTCTGTGGCATTGTCTGCTGCAAAAAAATTGCGCGAACACTAAATACCGTAATGTGGTATTTGCTGTTAAAAAACCTTCAAGTGTTCTGGAATATTTTGGCCACACTGCCCACTCCTACTTACATTTTTTTTCATATGCATTATATTCAGAACTCAGTACCTGAATCCACACTGGCTCCATGGTTGGTCCGGGGGATGTGAGATTCTCTAGCTGACCAGTCCGCTTGTAGGTGAACACAGTTCCTGCTGCTTTGTACTCTCCATTCCACTGGATGGTCCAGCCGCCATTCAGGAAATACTTTTCCGGGTCGTTGCTCCGTAACGCCAGAAAGTTCCCAGCCTCGGCCACCTCCTCGATGTAGATGTCCCGTGCTCCTTCTGGAATCAGACCAATGTCCACATAGCCTGGGAGACAGAAACAAACCTGCTTGTTATGAAAGCTTAAGCTCAGCACTGAAGAATTCTGCTCTCTACAAACTAAGACACTGCAGCCTTAAAAGATTTGTGACACGTAAAAGGACACTGTGAAACTCAGTCTATAAATTGTAAACTTCATAAAGCAACACAAACTGCATAATCTCACATATCACAGCTTTATAGAACATTCCGTTCACAGTTTCCTGTTGTGGTTATAATGAGTGCATATCATACCCAGCCCCTCACTCTTCTCAAAGGTTCTCTTCACAGTTTCACAAGTAGATCCGTTGCCATGACACACTCCACACCGGTCTTCAACTGCACTGGAGTCGATCTCATAATCACAGCCAATGTTCTACAACACAGAGGTCACACATAACTCACAGTGCAATACATGTAAATGGGTTATAAGTAATGGTTTCTAAATATGCTTAGAAAGCTATAATGCAATCACTGTTGGTTACTGTAATCACATTGGGTTGGGCTGTACTTTTCATGGCAGTGGATTGTCTCAAATGTCCCATTGGGATCAATGAAGTAAATTAATCAAATCACTCTACTTAAGATGATCCACTTGCATAAGTGAGGAAAAAGTCAAAGGACAAACTTTAAAAGAAAAGGAGTTTCCAATGCTAGAGTTCAAAAATTATTAAAAGATATAGAGAAAATGGAACTCCTCACAACTGTGAAAGACCTGGTAGACCACCAGAACTGTCATCATCAAATAAACAGTATTTAAAGCTTTGATCCTTGAGAGAGAGGAGAAAATCGAGATGCACTCTTGCTTCAGATCTGAAAAAATTAACAGGTGTTTTTTGTCCATCCTACGTGTTTTTGTCCAAACGTAAATAACAAAGATTTACATGTGTTGCACTGTGAGTTATGTTTAAAGAGTGAAACGACACAGGTTTTAGTGAAGAAGAAACATGAAAGGCAAAATTGTTAAAAGCCATTTCAATGTCCTAAGTTTCATATCCTATATTTGCTTCTACACCCAATAAACAATATTGGAATATATAAAAATTGCATTCTTTTCTAATTTAAAAGAAAGATTTTCATCACAAATTCTATTATCAGGATAACAATTTGAATGAAAAGTAGAATGTTTGAATATTTACATGAATTTCAGAATTTCTCAGTATTTGATAGTTCCTTCTTTTGCTTTAATGACAGAATGCACTCGAACAGGCACAGACTCCATAAGTTTGTGCAAAAGCCTTTGATGAGCAAAAAAAAAACCTCCTGAGGGTCGTCTAAACACTTCAATGCTTAAATGAAAGGAATAAGACTGAAAAAATATGACCTTTTTGTACAAAGGCCTTCACATGGTCATCACCACAAATTTGCATAAATTTGAAGAATGACCTAGAAATAGTGTAATCTTAAAATGTTGCTTGCTTCCAAGCTTAAATGAAAAAAAAAATCCAGATTATCACAGACTTTTGGACCCCACTGTAGATGAACATAAATATTTAATATACTCTTATATACTTTGTTTTGTAACATATTTCAGCCTTATGTTTTGGGATTGAGCTGAAGAGCTTTGCTTCCCTTTTTGAATAATTTTAACACTTGGGAATTCTTGCCGTAAGTCTATTTTGGTTCAAACGTGCGGTATGTTTTGCATATTTTTGGAGCTAATAAGACAGACTTGATATGACTTGATAAACAGGACTGTAAGGAAAACATCTGTCAGTTAGTCAGGGAGCTGTTTGAATCAAAAGCTTCATAACTCAAAATGCCTGTAGCTATGTTTCTCAGCAGCTTGTGCATGTTCATGCTCTCAAAAAAGCATGCCTTGATGGCAAAACCTTGAGTGCCTGTATATGGAAATGGAATTCAGTTCAGGCTAAGTCCTTCACACCACAGAGTGCATCAGCTTAGCATGCTGCTCCCTAATGCATAAATGCATTGCCGCCTCCTCCGTATCCCTGTTGCAAACGCGACCCATTTGTCACTAAGACGATTCTCAGTAGGACATGATACAAATGCAGCCCATTCTAAGAAAATAATCTCTGCTCTTGCAACCTCTGAGTGTAATGTATAGCCTAGCTTGTGTCCAACACAAATATGCTTCATTTGACAACTGGGTGTGCTTGCTTAGAACTAAAGCAAACTCCTGCGGGACAGATTTCTACGAGTGGTGTGAAGCTGAAATCCTTCACTGGGTGAACCTACATGACCCTTTCAGACTGATGGCTAGATATACATAATAGGCCCCCACCGATATGAACATTCTGAGACCAGTAGTGATAGCAGTTTCAGGGGCCTAAAAATTCTAAAAAATAAAAACACTGGCCACTATAATTTTAGAATAATTTTATACTCCTATACTCTTTTCCACTTCCCCTCAGTCCATTTTAAATTAGCTCGGGCCCAGAGAAGGCAGAGGTGTTTCTGGATCCTGTTTATGTACCATTTCATCTTTGCATTTTAGAGTTTTAAACTGCATTTGTCGATGCACTGATGAACTGTTTTCACAGACAGTGGTTTTCAGAAGTGTTTCTGAGCCCATGCAGTGATTTCCACTACAGAATCATGTCTGTTTTTAATGCAGTGCCGTTTAAGGGCCCAAAGATCACGGCCAGCAAATACTGGTTTTTGGCCTTGTCCCTTGCATACAGAGATTTCTCCAGATTCTCTGAATCTTTTAATGTTATTATGTACTGTAGATGATGAAAAGCAAAAGTTCTTTGCTATTTTATGTTGAGAAACATCATTCTTGAATTATTGCACTATTTGCTTGTGCAGTCTTTCACAGAGTGGTGAACCCCTCTTCATCTTTACTTCTTCAAGACTCTCTGACGTGCCTTTCTTTATTTTTATTTTTTTATACTGACCTGTTGTCAATCAACCACCAGATGTTTTTTTTAGCATTACACAACTTTACCAGCCTTTTGTTGCCCTCATCCCAACTTTTCTGAAACGTGTTGTTGGCAAATTCAAAATGGGCATGTATTTTTCAAAAAACAATAAAATATTTCATTTGACATGTTGTCTTTGTACTATTTTCAGATAACTGTAGGGTTTAAATGATTTGCACATCATTGTATTTTGTTCTATTTACATTTTGCACTGCGTCCCAACTTTTTGGAAATGGGGTTGTATTTGTTATGTCATGAAGACCAACACATTTACATATCACCACCTCTTACAGCAGTTTAGCCCACTATTCACGCAGAAGTCACAATCAGGGGGAGAACGTGAAGCATAGACTGCGGCCAATTACGTTCAGGGGGAGCAGTCGGAACAAAAAAGTAAACAATGGCCGATGGCAGTCAGGGACAGTCAGGGAACAATTGATGCATCCTAGTCAATAGTGCCTATAAATTGTGATATTCATATCATTCCACTTTTAAATATTTTTGTAATATTTCGTAAATGTGCCCTAGGTCACAAATAAAACCTATTAAACTTGAATAAATGGCAGTTACTGGCGGTATACCTTCAGCTGCATGATTTCATAGTGATAAAAAGTTGGTGTGCTTTAAATGTTTAATTAAATATGATGTATTATCTAATTATTTTCTTTCATATATTCTCTTATTTAAGCGTGCTTAATTTAAAACATTGTTTTTAAGTGCCAGTATCAGGTCTGACACTGTTACCATTACCTGCAGATCTACCACAAAACTTGGTATGTAAAACATTAATAACAATAATAATAATAATATGACAGATTGTGGCCAGTAATGTAACAGCGTCATGTTACCATTACAGATAATGGTCATAAATGTTTGATGTCATGATGACTAACTAGAGTGCACTCTGCAGTTAGCATGAGACAGAAGTCATGACAACAAACATTATGGCATCTGTCATGGAAGTTACTGGTAACTGAACACAATTTGTCATGGCAACTCGTGACAGTTTATGACATCTGCCACGACGTTTATGGCAGGGTTATGTCAATGTTAAGTAGCATGTTAAGTTCCAGTAAAGTGCTAACTGCTCTTTTCATACCTGGTTTTAAGAGGTGCAAAACCATTTGATGCAACTAAATAAACAAAATATATGTAATTAGCCACATTGCCAATTTCTCTACCCAATTCTGCATAGTCTACCTTCTGTGAAAGCCCATTCCTGCCACAATACAGCAAAACTCATATTATGAGAGAATGTCATACCGGTATTCACTTTTATATGGGTGTATCGCTCACCCCTATTAGTATCTCATAATCATGAGACTATATCTCAAAATAATGAGATAGCATGTCAAAATAATGAGAAAGTAGCTCAAAATAATGAGACAGTATCTCAAAACAATGAGATGGTATTTCAAAATAATGACTTCATATTCCAAAATAGTGACTTAATATCACAAAATAATGCCATAGCAATTCACTTAATAATGACAAAAATAATAATGAATAATTTGAAAATAAAATTAATAATTAATTAGGTGCTTTTTTTATATTTTACATTTTCCATGTTCAAGCGTAGGCTCTTTTGTACATATGATGTATGCTTTCAGGCACAATGCATCATATTTTGTCCTGAAACCTGGCAGAAAACGTTTCCTGGCCCTAAATGTACTGTGAGAACAAATGCATGAAACAACATACTAATGTTAATGCAATATTCATATCTTCTGCCACATTCACTGAAGCGCAGCTAGAAGTCTGCAGCAAAGGCAGAATTAGGTTGCATAAGTATCACATTTTTGTACAAGCAAAATCATGTGTGTATGAACAAGTTGGCTGAGGTCATGTAAGGACTGGACTGTGAAGTCACATTGGGCTGAACAAAGCCTGGAGTAGCAGAACCTAAGCAGACAGTATTGCAAAAGGCAGCATGCTGAGTTTTTGGAAGCCAGTTGAGAAGCTATTTCACAATGCCTATTTTTTGCTCCTGCTGGCCACTTGCAATCCTTTATTGCTTGCTGTGTCTGCAACTACTCTTCAACCGGCAACTGTAGAGGCATAAGCTGTAGGAGGAAAGAGATGGGTCAAAGGTATTACTGACCTTACAGATGCCATTAATGCACATGTCCCGGCTCTGGCTACCCTCATGGCACTGGGTACCATCAATCACAGCGTCCACCATCTTCTCTGAGAAATACTCATTCACCGGGCGGCAGTGCAGTTCACACGGATTAACTGACAAATAGAACAAATTGTTTGTTGTTTCTCTACAGCACAATGAACGCCAAAAGCTCTCACACCACAGACAGAAGCAGTTATAGCAACTCAATTTTAAACACATTGGATAAAACTTGAGCCTAACTGATATAAAAATTATACAGATTTTAACTGATAATACGTAATAATAGTAACTAATAATGGCCAATGAAATGCATTTATATTTCACATTTTAACTGTATACTCCAGAAATGACTGTCACACTTCTTAAACTGAAATAAATAGAAATTACTCATGCTTTTAACCCTTTATCTTAAATATGGTTTAAAAGGGTATTGATAGAGCCTTATTATTAAATTTTTCTCTAAATTACTATGAAACAAGTTATGTAGTCATGAGAGTGCGAAGCTAAATTGTGGGCCCACATACTGGGCCTTCATGGTTTAAGGGTTTTAACTCATTAAGGCCGATGCAAAAGGTGGCCGTTTTAACTATTATTTAATTCAATTTCTGAATCCTATAGTTGCATTTATTTGACATGTAAAAACATGATTATTTTTATTAATTTTTGTCAGACACCACCTTTTACCAAACGCATTAATTTAAAAATAAAAATGTTAAAAACGCCACATGAATAGGACTATTACTTACACCTCAGCTTTACCGTTACTCCGATTAAACAAATCAATACTAAGTGCTTAGCAATATGAACTGTGCTCTGAATGAGTTTATGTGATTGCTCAGAAAAAAACATGTAGCACCCAACAATAAATGAAGCTTTGGGCATATTTTATACAGTGACAGAAAGCATGGTAGCACACAGAAAGCTCTGGTTCTACACACTGAAACTGAAGAAATATTTTACAGGGACGTGCACGAGGAGTGAAACTTTTTTTTGGGGTCCAGTATTGGGTTTGTTGTGGTAATAATATGAACACAGTCATACTATGTGGTCTTTCTGTTAAATTAGCATTCCTGCCTAAAATAGCATTTAACATGTTATTTGTCATGTTTTGTAATATTATGCATGCTGCATCGATTCTGTGAACCTCATCGGTTTACAGAATTCATAATTTTGTATCCTTTTTGCATTTTCATTTAACAGTATTCTCTCACTACAATACTCCGCATGCATTACAGAAATACATCATATAAACATTGGGAATCCCCCTACGGATACGAAGAAATATTGACTATTAGCCTCTGATGTAGATTCTGATAAATACAGATGTAACATTTGGTTTCCTAGCAGAAATGATGAACGATTTGGAGAAAATATCTTAAATGTCACTGCAAATATTGCAAATTTTATTACTGCAATTTAAACTGTAATTATTTTCCAAAAATTAAGGTCTAGGCCTTTTATTCTGTCCAAAAAGACCAGGATATCCCCTTTTTTCAACTTGACACTTGAACACTGATTGCGCTGTGCCAGTTAGTGGTGATTGTGTTGTCACAGCACAAGTGTTTGTTGCTTTTGATTGGTCATGTCTACAGATGGCTCACAGGCTCCATGTTATTAAATGAAATCCCCCCACTTAACACTATGATGTTGATAATATAGGCTATATTTACAACCATTTGAAAATTGCACTTTTTTAAATTGTGATTTGGATACAAAATTGGTTTTAACCCTACATTACCTACCTGGCTTCTGTCTGCATTAGCCAGCTAGTGGACAAAAGGGTCCACCCCAAAGCCCTTGAAGTTTTTTAAAAGTTCTTCCCACCTTCAAAATACATCCATCAGAAGGGGGGTTTCGTTGTCTTGAGAGACGTCTGTGAGAGACGACTGGAGCACCAATGTAGGGTGCAAGTAGGCATGTGTACAACAGACATAGCAATGGTTACATGTTTCATTTTGGTTGAAGAGTTCCTTAATTACTTTTTATTTTTTGTATTTTTTCTTCATAAAGTAGTAGTTTATATTGTCCTTATACTAAAGGCTTGGATACATTTAACATACATTTTTTGTTATACTAAGCATGACAGTGTTTTGTGTTCAAAATCACCAGTTCAGCTTGATGTCATTCAGTTTAAACATTTAAAACTTAGCCCACTTTACAGGAGACCGTGAGTTCAAATCCCAATTAGGCCACAAAAATGGTAATTGTTGGCATGTTATCTGCAATCTGTCCACCGATAAAGATAAAATCGCGGGTCATCAATTTTCCAAACAATATATTGGCAAAGCCCTACTAAAAACCTAAATTATGTATGTTTGTAGGATCGTGTGAATGCTTTGATTCACCAAAACATCCACAGAAACTCACTTGGAACTTGGAGATGGGTCAGAATGCTCCCAGCAACACAATAAAAACTGTAATTGTGAGGGCTCATTTGCATATTGTAGCCTTTTGCAATATCAGTATTGTAAAGGTCAATATCACTGTGCAGCTACTGACATCTTTACTGTATAATACAGTTTAATATGCATGCTGAAACCTATTTTCAGGTAATTTTCTACATGCAAAACACCCGAGGCCTGTGTTAATATGTACTGTGGGAAGAAAATGCTTACTTCGGTTATTGACATTCACCCATTTGTAGAACTTGCCCTTATAAGGCACGGTGTTGAACTTGCTGCACTGGATGTATCTAAAGCTGGGCTGGTCTGGAGGGCAAGCCTCACGGTTACAGATTCTGTACCTGAGCCGCTCCCCAAGGCAGTACCTCCCTCCGTTCTTTGGGCTAAATGACAGAAAAGAAATGTGAGATCACTGTGTTTATGTGCTTGGAAGCAACAAAAGACATGGCATTACTGGAGGGATTGCTACTGAAAACTTGAGCTAGTTCCAGAGACTATGTAAGGAGACTAGAATGTAATCAATATTTGATTGATGTTACACTGTGAATGAGGTAATCTTCCACACAGATGTCTCTTACGATCCTATAACAACTGAACCTTTTCTTCCCATTGAAAGTCCTGGATGTTGTTAGTGAGCCATAATTTACTACAAAGCTAAAAAACCTGCAGCTGAAAGCAAATACAGATGTCGTTGTATCCACATGTATTCTATCCATCAATAACCCAAAGGATTCTGCTAGAGGCCCTGGCCTTTAACACTCTTGAGCCATATGTTGTATAAACACAGCAAGGTATAAATGGCTCAATATATAGTACTGTGCAAAAGTCAGAGACCACTCTTATTTTTTTTTCTAGTCAAAACATCATTCAGTGCCCAAAAATGCAGAAAACAAATTTAACAGAAAATTACACAGAAACCACTAAAAGATATTATGAGTTTTTCAGTATTTAGTCTCCAGCTTTTATTACAGCTTCCAACCTTTTAAAGAGACTTGTGTTCACTTTTCAAAGAAATCTGCTGGTTTTTTTTTTACACCTCCAAAGTTCAGTCTTAGAAGTTGGTTGCATTTTCTGTTATCAAGTAATCCCAAACATATTCAGTAATGAGGTCTGGACTCTGGGATGGTCAGTCTCTTGTTATGAGAAGACCAGCAGCTTCTTTGTTTGATTAAAAATTTCCCTTTTTTGCTTCCTTTTCTTATACCCATCAATCCATAGACCTGACTTGTCTTTTTACAGTAGAAGGATGGACAGAAACACCTGTGGATCTTTTCTGAATTAAAGCAAGAGTGCAGCTTGATTTTCTTTCTTTTGGTGGTCTGCCAAGCCTTGTACAAATTGTTAGGAGTCCCATTTTCTCTACATCGTTTAGCTTTTTTTTCTCCAGTTATGAGAAAAATGTTTTTTCTTATTACTCACGTATTGCTTTCTGCTTCCTTATGCAAGTGCATTATTTTATATCTTATCTCCTGAAAAATGAATAGCTTGTACTTAGTGGTCATTTGCACAGTAATATATGTGCAATTTATCTGCACACTGATATTCCCAGCCTCAAAAACATGTTGTTTTAGTTAGAACCAGCAAAGATAAAGTGAAGCTATTCCTACTATAACCTAAAAGATAAGAGCGGTGACGCAAATATTTGGTATTACCATGAGGCTTCAGCATTATTCATCATTGTGGAGATTACGAGGAAAGGTCTGATGAGATAATGTTGGTTTTCCGTTTTTTTGTTTTTATTTTTTTATCCTTTCTCCAGACCATAATTACTGCACATTTAATGACACTCAAAACAAAAACATATGCGCACACACACACACACACACACATACACGCACGCACACACACAAGCTCTCTTTCTTTCTTAGCAGTAGTACTGTTTAGGAAAAAATGCAGACCATTTAACTCTACACGTTACACAGACTATTCTATACAGCACAGATTAAAAATAACTCAATAGTTTATATGGCACAGCTGATAAGCACACAAATTATGGGCTCAACCTGGTATGGGTGCTGCCAAGCACTGCTAGGAATGAGGACAGGATGAAGTACTGCACGTTCAGTGTGAAAGAGCTTTACAATAATGAAAGCCCATTTCGCAGACAGCTGCGATTTTGTCTCTGTTGCTCTTAACCACGTGTTTGTACTTAGTATCTCTGAGTAATGACTAATGTTCTGGAAATGATGATGACTTTTTAAAAATACTAAGTCAATATTTCCACCTCCTCTAACTGCACCTATGATGGACAAACTAGTCTGACTATTAGCATAAATTATTTCAGCCAGCACTGCACAAAACAGAGACTATACTGGATACTTTGGGATACAGCTGACATTAGTAAGCTTGGGGACAAAATTCGGCCTGGAAAACAGCCCCAGACTATTATCCCTCCTCCACCAAACTTTACTGTTGGCATTATGCATTCCAATAAGTAGTTTTCTCCAGCATTTGCAAAACCCAGATGTGTCCATCAGATTGCCAGATAGTGAAGCGTGATTCATCACCCCAGAGAACACATTTCCACTGCTCCAGAGTCTAGTGGTGGCATGCTTTACATCACTCTAGCCGACACTTGGCATTGCGCATAGTGATCTTAGGCTTGTGTGCAGCTACTCAGCCATGGAAACCCATTTCATGAAGAGTCCCGAAGCACAGTTCTTGAGCTGACGATGCTTCCAAAGGCAGTTTGGAACTCTGTAGTGATTTCACAGTAAAAGCGCCTACAGTTGACCGGGGTAGATCTAGCTGGCAGTAATTTCATAAACTGACTTGGGGCAAAGGCATGCTATGACAGTGACACGTTTAAAGTCACTGAGCTCTGAGGTATTACCCACTCTAATGCCAATGGTTGTCTATGAAGACTGCATAGCTATGTGCTTGATTTTATACACCTGTTAGAAATGGGTATGGCTGAAACACCTGGATGCAACAATTAGGAGGGTAGTCTACATACTTTTGGCCATATAGTGAACATGTAAAATGGCCAAAAAAGCTTTTTTACTTAATATACTTTTGGGTGGACTACATTTCAGAATGAAACAATATATTTCAAACATATTTCAAATATACAAAAAAATGTCCATGTATTTCTTTTTCTGTATAGGAGAGAAGTCTTGCAAGTAAGGCTGACTCACTTACACTGGATTGTCACAGTCCCTCTGGGCGTTCTGCACCCCTGCCCCGCATGTCCTGGTACAGACAGACCACTCACTCCACGGCCCCCAACCGCCATTGACTTTCTGCAGCGGATGCCCTGCTGCCACACACTCACCACTCAAACACCACTGACGACAAGCCACCAACACAGAAGGTCAGTCACAAAAGCACAGGGCATGTACAAAAAGAACAATGAAACCTGCTCACAGCTGTCAAGTACAGCAAGGGATCAAGGAAGCAAGAGATGAAATGAAAAGAAACGTCAGTGGAGCAGAGAACAAGTGGTAAGCCTCATGCAGGTAAAAGTCCACACATACAAACACATACACAGCATCCATGTGGCTTACCTTGTTTTCGCCACACTTGGTGCCATCCACCGCTCCGTCCAACTTTGAATGACAGGTGGAATCCACAGTGCACCATAAAGTGCTACAGACATTCTAGACAAGTGGAAAATGTGGTTCTACATGTGAGATATATGTGTTTATTTCTTGTATTACATTGTTTTCCAAACATTTTACGGTACTGTAGCCCCTCTGACATTAAAACTCTGGCTTGTACCCTCTCTCACACACTTGTGTATTCTGCCATGATGCATATGGATGACATTTAGCCTTGTAAAATCAATCCCCATTAATACACTAAACATTTGTGAAGCTATGATATAACACACTAGATGTAACAGAATAAATAGATAATGTTGTGGATGCTATTAAGGCCAGTATTAAAGGTGTAGTTCACTCCAGACTGATGATCAGAGCACAGTGATGAGGAAGAGGAGTATAGTTTCATTTATATTCACATAGGTAGTGGTCAGTGGTGATTCTAGGATATTTTTTAAGTGGGGCTGTAATGGGGCAACAGTTCCTGTTCAGAGGCTACATAAATGCTATCAAATTCAAAGAGAGATCTCTAAATGCATTCACTACAAACAATACACTTTAGAAAGCATCTATCACTGATACAGCCCATTTCATATGTTTCACATGCAGTATCAGATATGGTAAAATGTCTAATCACAAGGCTACAGTGTTCAGACATGCAAACTTGAGAGCAGTGGAAAAGGTGACAAGCTCAAAAATCAACCCCCTGTAGGGGGTCCAGAGGCTTGGCCCGCCAGAGAAGATTTTAATGATTTTAACAATTAAGCATTCTGAAATTATTTCTACTCCACTGATATTCCATTCAGTTCTCTGAATTCAGTTCATTGAATTCAACAAGTATGCCAATATTTGTCATAGCAAACTACACTGCTTTCCAGGTATTTTGATTTATTTGCCGAAAGTTCCTTACCATACCAATGTCAAAATGTCTGAGCATATGAACGTTTTCTTTTAAGATTTCTCCTGAACAATTATTACAAACAGAGGCCATTCTAATAACTCTGCCTATCATTTGTTTTGTCTATCTCGCTGAAAGATCCATTATTCCATAAGGTGTGCTTGGACCCCATAGATTGCCACTTGTGATGTACTTTGCAGACGGTCATTCAACTCTCGTAGTGGTTATGACAGTCCACAGAAATCAGTGTGTTATACGTCAGTTTCAAAAAATGTGTTGCTTCTCACAAACAGTCTGATGATGTGGAGCTACATTTTAGATTCTCCTAAATGCCTCTAGGAGAACAGGACTGGTCCCTAACACTCACTACATAATTGCCTTATCACAAAGCATTTCTGCAACCAAACAATTTCCTCCAGTATGACCCCTTTGAGCCTAACAGCTCTGATAAGAGTGCTGAGGTCAGGAAGTCTCTAGGGAACGAGGACTGAAGAGATAAAACCCCCTGCTGTTTGTCTGTGACATTTTGGCAGGCGATTGGAGCACAATCATTGTATGCCAAGAGTATAATCAGCGAGGGCCATCAGACTGTCACAAAAGCTGGTGTGGGATGCATCTCGCTCACCAGTAATGCTAACTGACATCTCCATAAACAACAATTGAGATATGATGACCTACTGCTCGCAATTCTGCAACCAGCAAGAAGCCTTAAATGTTGGCAAACCTCCAACTTGAATGAAGGTCCCAATAAACAAAGTACATTCTGACAGCTTTAAAGGAATATTGCATTTTCATCCTGCCAATATAAGTATGTATCAAACTGAAATTGAGTGAACTGAGTTTCAGATCTATGCCTATTTGAAACTAGGGCTGCAACAACGTATCCACGTATTATCAATAACCAGACAATTGTTGGCAATGAATATTCTTATTCATCAGTTGGCATGACGTTTGGGCTCCCCATTTATATCACCTGACTGAAAGATGGAGGAGATTACAGTACAGGGTTATGTACAAAGGTGTTGGACTGCAGGTAATGATGGACTTGACTAAACCTGGCTTGGGAGCCCTTCAAAAGCCTCGGAAATAAATTGATTTTGGCGTCTAATTTAGATCTTTGTAGTTATTATAGAAATAATATGAGACTTCATTGTCCATGATAAGTTCTGCTTATCTGCCTGTTGTTTCCTTCATTCATGTAACTTGTACATTGTTGGCTATCAAGAGCTGTTAGTGGCTGTCCACCAATTCTGACCTGAAGTGAAACCAAAATCAGGATTTCAGAAACGCAATGAGTGGAGAGAAAGAGGCAAACAGAGAGAGAACACAAAAAGGGAGCAGCTAACTTCTGACCCGGTTCTTTCAGAAAACAGGTGAGCCTAAAGTGCCAAACAGTAAATGTGTTGTAGTAATGCAAGCTAGTTAGCTAACTAGTGATTAGCCATATCTATGGCAATTAACTACAACTGCAGTCATTTCAATCAAGCACAAGCTGATAAAGTAGCACAGGATTTGATTTAATGCAGCAAGTAAGCTTTTTTTATTACACAGTGTTCATCATAACTAGCCCAGCCACTAACCTGCAAAACACAAATTCTACCAGAGGCAGTCAGAGGGGGAGAAAAAGGAGCACCTCTTTCATTTTCTAATGCAAATAAAGACATGAGCTAGGGTGAGCTCATCAAAGTAGGTAGTTAATAGGTGTTCCATCCAATAAACCATTTGTTGAGCAATTCTGGTAACAATGACTAACTATATTTCAATATGTTTTAGTTGTTCTTTTAAATTTCCCTCTAATTACATTGATTGTTTTGAACAGATACTAAACTTAAGTCTAATTCTTACTAAACTAAAAGGTAATTTAGTACTAAAAGACTATTCAACACACTCTTACCTTATCTATTGTCAGCTGTTTAACCCTTAAATGCATACCAGCCAACCTCATAAAGAAATACAGCATAATAAATACATAATATTTTCCCTTTCCTTTGTTTTCTTGCAAGATGTACTATGCCCCTGGTTATGCATAACTCGAAAAAGTCTAAACTATGCTAAAACTTCGCTTTAATTCTGAATTTTCTGAAACTTGTGCAAAACTTAGCTCTACTTTGACAGCAAGAGCACTGTGTAAAAGGAGGAATAATTCTTTGCATTTTTAATTTGTTGAAAGAAACATTGTGTGCAACATGAAATATTAACTTACTGACAGACTACTGGCTGAGCTTTTTCTCTCCCCTATTTATCAAAGTCATAATGAATTGATTATGGAAATCACTGTTAGTTGGAGGGCTAACTGAAACTACAGCAAACCTGCTCTAACAGTACAGGTGTTAGGATGGGAGAGATAAAACCAAAGCTGTTCTTATGCTGTTTTGTCCATTTTTGACCACTGGAGCAACACAGTAAAAAAGCAGTTCTGGTTACTTTAACATTTCTTTATTTTTTTTCTAAAAACAATGCAGAGGTGGAGCCTGAGACTGTGCTGCCCTTTCAGGTAGCACATTCCCACAAATTTTCATCTCTGAAATGTTTAATTATGCATATTTACAGGTTAATTTGTCCTATAAAAGCACCTGATTGTTTATTCAGCAACTGTCAAGACTTTCTGCTGTTTTTTAAGTACAGGGAAAAACATCAAAATTACTGTCTGTGATAATCGACCGCTGGCTATAGCAAATAGATATTGGGTTGAAAAATGCTGGAATATTACCTTTTTTTTTATAAAAAATGGGTACTTATAATGAGAGTTATGGCTTATTCACTGTTTATATATTTCACGTATATGAAGTAAGATAAAATGTTTACTGTAATAAATCACATGTAAAGTTTAGGCCAAACAGCTCGGCAGACAGCTAACAGGCTACTCCTATAATACCTATAAAACAAAGTTTAGCTTTATCAAAGGACTACTGTACAACAATGTAAAAAAATGCTACTTGAAATTCTGTTACAAGTTCCAAATGCTTTAGGTGTTCTTGTTTAAGCAGAGATGGCCCAAGTAGCATTACACCCTGTGTGCGGAGTCATGCTTTCATGCTAACATATCACTGAAAATTCCACAGAAGCAATGAGTATTAGCAGAAATTAGCATTATCTTAGCGGTGGTACTTATTATAAATTGAAGCCCTCAGCATTAACGATACTTGTAGCCAACAAGTTCAATACAGATTTATCAACTTTTCAAAATATCTTTAAAAATTGAAGTTCATTTAATTGGAGCATAGCCACTCGGTGGAAAAATACTGGAGTATTTTTTTAACATTTTTTGGGGGGGATTTATGATGAGAGTTATGGCTTGTAGTTTACATTTGTTTAGAAATTTTGTGAATATGAAGCAAAATCAAATGCTTTCATTTTGATAGAATAAACATGATATAATTCATAAAACATGATATAATTCATGATATATATGAGTGTTTTTAACCAGTTGCTAACGGGAGAAGCAGGACTGGAGGAAGATGATTGTGGATTGCTGAAAGAAACATCAATAACCTTCAATACGTTTAGGACACAACACTGGAAGACCTGAAGGCTTTTATAAGAAAAGTTGAGCGTAAGGGGGGACTGCAGCTCAATATGAAGAAGTCTAAGGTCATGACAACAGGAAACGCTGCTGACTTTACCAAAGATGATGAAGATGTGGAAATGGTAGACAGCTTCTGGCTTCTTGGATCAATTATTAACAACAGAGGATACAGCAATCAAGAAATATGACACAGAGTGGCACTCGGCAGTACAAGGATGAAAAATCTTCTAGTGCAAGAATATGGATCTACAGATAAAAGATCAGAAGTGTTCAGGCTGTGGTCTTCTCTGTGGTTCTTTATGGAGGTGAAAGCTGGACAGTAAACATGCCTTTGAACGTTGAGAAAAATTTCTGAGAAGAACCAATTCATTGGAAAAGACCATTATGCTTGGAACAGCTGAAGGTAAAAGAGGAATAAGATACAAGTTGAATGGATTCAATCAGATGAACCATGACCAAGCTATTCAGAAGCTTAAAGACTCAAACAATAGACAGGATATTCTGGTCACTATCCATATTGTCACCAGACAACACTTAATAATAACACTAATTCTTAATTTAGGGTTAAAATGAAGCATTTTTACCCCAAGCCAAAAGTGAATTGTAACATAATCTAGGCTTAGTTGATGACATTCTTGTTTTGCAGTAAAACCGGATATCTTTCAACAATATCACGCTGAGAAACCTATGGTATCAGTGTAAGTAGAGGCAGAGACTTCCTGTCAGGCAGTGGAGATGTGTGTGGTCCAGTCTCTATTTTCTTCCTGCTAGATCCCTGGGAGCTGCCAAATCTGCACGCTCTCACATCACTGAAAGAAGAGAGGGCTCCTCTATTCTGTTCTCATTAGTACAGGAAGAAACAACTGTACCGCGGGCATGGTAGCAAAACTGCTTACTTCACGGGATCTCTCTAATGAGATCAAACTCAGGGCTCAGTGAGCAGCAGGATGTCTTAAATCATCTCCATCTCCCACCGGCCCGTCAGCTGTGGCAGGCATTAAGTAATAGTGCTTTTCCATGCTGGGAGTTTGTTCAGTCTCAGTTATCTGAGTAAACACTACTGAATCAGTGCAACGCCAATGGGTGATAAATGAGCGAACGCTCGGTCACCTCTGTTGTGTTAAGAATCCCTCTCGAGTGAGCTAAGAAAAACTTCATCTTCACAGTTTGACTCTGCAGAATGGGTAGTTCAAACAAATCACTCCATTAGCGTCAGCCGCTAGCACATGTGGATACTCACATTCTGTCAAAATGTTTTACTGTTAAGTTGCCGATAAACTAAAGTCTAACGGTCTCTAATGAGATATGAGTCAGTGATTAGAGAGGCATCACGTTAATCTATAAACAAAGCCGTTTGATTGACAGATCAGTATGTGTGATTTTTTTTCTTTCATTTTTAGAACAGATTCTTTCCAGGTTTGATACTAATTAAAGCCCATTAGCGCTGTGGTAGGCCCGTCTGTTAGTGTCAAGGGCAGTTCATGCCTCCTCCAATGTATACATAAAATAAAAACACAGTGCAATCATTTCTTTAAACAATTTCAGGACAGTTTCTATTGTATACACGTCTGACTTCCATGATTCAATTAGATCATGATTCTATGACTGATATTCTGTGAATGGCGGAACTATTTATGCAGTACTGGAATATAGATTATAAAAACAATACCCCAAGCTTTTTGTTTTTTTTTTGTTTTTACCTCATCTATATAAGGTTTTAATTAGGGATGGGAGATTTTTAATATGTTGGCTCAAGAGAGGCCCAAGAATCAATATTTTATCATATATTTATTATATTTTATGAAATAATTATAACTTTCTGGTGAGATCAAAGTTTCTGTCAGTGGGGTTATTGTTAGGAATGGTCGAATAGTGCAGTGGATAACATTCATGCTGTGCATAGTAAGTGGGGTTTGGTCCGACCATTCAAGAATCAGAAACACATATGATATACCAACAAGACTCCAATCAGTCACAACATCTGACATTACATTTACTTGCCACTGTAAATTGCCCTGAATAAACGCATTTGTTAAATGTCAAAACATTATTTTTTGAATGTTGATTTGTCTGCTTCAAAATTCTATTTTGCTCTGAGAAAAATATTGTCTTTCTTTAGTATATTGTGTATATTTCTCTTATTTTATAAGCTCATCAATGATGTATCACATGGCTAGCAGATGTCTATCTCAACTATCAACTTTTTGAGTCTCCAATGGCTGATCATGTATTTCTTGACTTACAACAGAATGTTTTTTGTACTTTAGCTTCAAACAGCTAACTGTATGTGTTTCCAACAGAATATCTATTTTCCAGACATAATTCTCAGCAGATGTATCAATAGCTGCAAGAGAAATACACAGTATAAAAGCCTCTATGCTAGGTCTGTTTTCATACTGAGCTACTGCAGACTGATGGACAGCGCGCTCTCGAATAAAGACTTCCCTGGCAAAGAAAAAGATTTACAACAGTTTTAATAGAAAAAGAATGAAGTGGGTTTTTTTTGAGGAATAATATGCAATGAATAGTCATAAAATGTGATATATTAGAACAGGGGTGTCAAACTCAACCACTAAAAAAGGCCATATTAAAAAATCTCAACAAATCTTTGGGCCAGAGAACGACTATGTTTTTATTTCATTTTAAGTTAACATTTTGCAAAAAAAACAAAATGACCATTGTTTTTTCAAAATACGCTGAAACTTCAACAGTAAAACATTGGCGCTTGTAGTAGACCTTGAAATATTACATGAATACTTGAAATATTCTAAAGTTAAATGTCCCCAGGAGCTCAGTCTTTTAAACCTATCTATATGCTTAAACTAGACACCTGGCATCTTTTCTTTGCTGCAAGTTCATTAAGACTTGGGCTCAATTTCTGAGCTGCTGAGCTAACATTAAGTGTTTATATTGGATGAAGAGCAGTTTGTTGTTTGGTGATAGAATTGGTGCGTAACTGTGTAGAACTGAACCGCTGTCCCATAGACTGTTGTTGGGGTAGGAGAGTTGGAGCACACATTACGTTGCAGTTCATGCTGGGGACTGTAGTTCAGTGCACTGTGAAACGAGAGCTAAAATTAATAGTAAATTAAAATACTTTAGCAGGCCAGACAGGATTATGTTGTGGGCCACATCTTTGTGTTTGACACATGGGTTTTAGAGTAAGTCATTTCACAAAAGATTTAGGTAGCTTATCATAGGGGGTGGGCTTTAGTGATTCACAACCCCTAGTTAAGAGTATATTGTGGTGAAAACTCAATGAAAATCATACTGTTTCAAAATTTACATTCTGATAGCTATAAATAATTATTGTCTTTTTAAAAAGTCACAGTGGAAGTGAACAGCTTCTTGCTACAGTCACCAGGACATAGCATGTTAACATAGTTATAATGTAAACTGTTAAATTGAGGCAGTGCTGGTGTGCTTTGTATTTATTTAAATTCTAGATTATTTGTTGATGTGATAAAGAGGATAGAGGTTCAATAAAAGTGCTTTGTAATCATCTTAAGTATATTTTAATTATACCACAATAACATTTTTCTATTTAAGTAATAATACCAAAAAAAAAAATTGGTCCCTGATATCACAGTAGAAATTTTCATCCCATCTGTACAGTACATATAAGATTTTCTTCTGCAGCAGTGGACCTTGGCCTGTTTTCTTTCAGTAGTGTATTATGCATCTTACAGTTGTGGGGGCAGTGTGAGGTATCCATGTGGGTGTGAGGAGAGAGAGGAAGCGGATGTCTTACGTCCATGTCATCGCACAGCAGTGAGCTGGAGCCATATTGGAGCTTGCACTGGTGGGCGGCGCTGTAGAGGACGCCAGGCAGCACTAAATGATCAGCCAGCTTGTTCCTGCTAGGAGGGTCGTCCAAGCACCAGCCCCAGCCACGGCTGTCAAACACAAACACAAACACACACACACACACACACACAAACACATACTGTTTCCAATATTCACCTAAATAACACTGCTGCAAAAAGGAGGCATTGTCATAGACAGTAGTAGCACCAAGAATTCATTCCACCATTATTCTTCTAACTTCAGCACTAGGCAGAAGTTAAGAACAACATGTATCAATTCAATATCTTTCTACTTGAATTAAAGTACACTTTCTGACAAGGAAACCTCTACAGTTGCAGACAAATAATATTTTACTAAGGGTTTATCTACTTTTACTGAAGTACAAGATTTTTGACATATAGTGAGCAAATATCAGGCCACCATTTATTTATTTAATTTCCAGTCAAAACAGCCATTAAGTACAAGTTAATCATTTTTTGGATGACATTTCTAGAGAGATTAGATATAAAATAATCAACTTGCATAAGAAAGGAGGAAGCCAACGGAACGAAATACATGAAAAAATAGGAATTTCCAAAACTGGAGTTCAAAAAAGTGATTAAAAGATACAGAAAAAATGTGACTCTTCACAACTGTGAAAGTCCTGGTAGACCACCAAAACTGTCACTATCAGATAAACAGTACTTAAAGCTGTTGTCTTTGTGAAAGAGGAGAAAATCAAGCTCCACTATTGCTTCAGATCTGAAAAAAAATCCACAAGTGTTTCTGTCCATCCTTCCACTGTGAGAAGACAACACTATGAGTAGCTGTCAAGAAGCTCCTTCTGAGAAAAGGAAATAGAAAGCAAAACCATTTGCAAATCAAAGAAAGAAGCTGCTGGTGTTCCCCAGAGTCCAGACTTCAACATCACTGTGTTTGGATTACCTGGACTGTGAGAAACAGAAAATGCAATCAACTTCTAAGACTGAACTTTGGAAGTGGCCATTTTGACTGGTAATTAAATAAATGAGGGGCAGTCTCTAATTTTCACACAGTAATGCAGATGTATATTCATAAAAATGTGAAAATATGTATGAAAATTATTGCTTAAGTTCAAGGCCATCAAAATTTTCTTTGGATGCTATATATGGTGTTCTTAAATAGGCTTCTGCCTTGTAAGTTCCATTGCTTGGAAATGAATGCTTCATGACAGTGTTATAAATGGAACAAATGTCTATTTCTATGACTATCACTTTATTTTAAGCCCCCGTTTGTCTATACAATGTCACTTAATGCATATAACATCTCATGTGATCTTGCGATTACTTGCATAAGCCGTTTATAAATGCTCAAGTATTGCTTTATAATTACATTATCGTTATGCATGCGTTTTGATGTACATAGCCTTCAAATGAACTGTTAGCAAATATTTCTTAGAGTCATTTATAACCAGTTATATCATTCAAGACTGAGTTGCCACCTCCAGATCGATGCATCATGATGCACCCATGCATTTCAGACCCTTCGAAAGGAGACTTGAATGTATGGTTTGGAGGTTGTGGAGGCCAGGCTGAGGCCTAGCACTGAATCTGCCTGTGCAGAATCAATGCAAGCTTAATGTAACAGACATAAAAAAAGAGGGTGTAGGCTATAATTGCTGCTCCTTCTTCAAGATGAGCTCTTGACTCAAGATTAAGGACCAGGCTCTGCACATCATTACATAAGCCAGCCTAAGTTAATCAGCAGAGACATTAATGCCATCACGATCCATTCCCCTGGGCATTTTTTACAGCTCTCACTTCAGACTAATTAAAAGGACTTATTTCTGCATCCATTTGCATTAATGTCCTTTTTAAAAATATTTTCGAAGGCTAGCATATGAATTCATAGTAAGAGAATTAATAGCTCTCTGATCATTTCTAAGAAAACAACATATTAAGTATGAAATAATGCCTGTTTTAATATGTTGGAAGGCTCACTCCAGCTAAAAGTCAGAAGTTAAATTACACTGCATGGCTGGATTGATAGCAGTTTTTTGGTTTCTAATAAAACCATCCTTCTACCAAGCATGACAAGGTGCCACCACGTTAGATACAACATAATTGTATTGTAAAGAAGACAGGCAGCTCATAGCAAAGAGAAAGAGAAAATGGTAAACATCTCAGTTGAAATTCAGTCCGTATTTAAATCATGAATAGGAAAGCACTTGGAAAGTTACTAAGAAGGAAGGTCAGCTGCGAGCTGAACGCTTTGCTCTGATCATCTGGAAAAGCTATAAGGTGCTGCAGCTGTAGGCAGCTGCTTAGATTAGAGACAGAGCAAAAAGTTCCAACATTTTTCACATCGTCACTATTATATCAGAAACCTGTAAGGCCCATTTGCAGAAATTTTTCCTATTTTTTTATTTTTAACACATTTTTTTTAAATGCCAGCTAACATATAATACAGTGAACATTTCATATTGAATTGACCAAAAAATCATTCAAACACTGTCATTATATTAACCTACAATAAACCTTTTTTTCCTCCATTTGGTTACCATTTGGAATATGACAGCAATTAGCACTTTGACCGATGAGATCTGTAACACCTCTGCCTTCTACGCTGTAGACTGGGGTTCAATCCCCCGCCTGAGCAAGCACTACACTATACCAATAAGAGTCCTTGGGCAAGACTCCTAACACTACTACCTTCGCCTACCTGTGTAAAATGATCAAATTGTAAGTTGCTCTGGATAAGAGCGTCTGCCAAATGACGTAATGTAATTGACCACATCTATTCTTTGTCTAGGAATACTCATTACTGTTGCAAGATTGGACAACCTTTACAGAATGGTGACAAAAATCTCATTCTAATGAATTTTGGTTGGAGTTCATTATTACTACATAATGTTTCCAGTTTAAAATTCTGTGCTGGACTATGTTGTTGTAGCAAGTTGGAAATAATGACTTTGCCACCCATGCTAACATTAACTTGATTACATGACAAAAAGAAAAAAAACGGCGGCCAATCCATCCTAAAAGTGCCAAAAAAAAGGGGGAGTGTGCTACTGGTTGAATTGGATTTTTGCCAGCATTCTGCAAAAAAATGTTGACAGGTCAATTAGAAGAATTGTGTTTAATGGAACAGTTTAGTGAAATAAATCACACAATTTCCCACTTATGGCAGATGTAGTCGATCACTGAAAACATTTAGTGTCTAAATTTTGCACCTTTAGTTTAAAACTGGAGCTAAAAGGATAATGTTGCTAAATAAACACTAGAAGTCAATAGAGACCCAAACCTTTTCCATAAATGCATGCGTGAAACTTGTCTCAACCTGCTCACACCACCTCCAGATTGGCACAACACAATATCCAATTCAGCACCTGTGGTGCAGACCTAAGTAAAAAGGTCTTTGAGCTAGCTGAGTGTTTTTCAATCAATGATAGGTGGGTTGGTGAGAGTAAGAGATGAAACATGATTGGCTTACATTATTTTTCCCTGCCAGCTGCTGCCCAGTGGCATAATCAAAAATCAGATGTTTTAGAGTCAGGAAAAGTCATTACATTTTGTTGGAAGATTACAGGAAAAAGAGAATGTTGTCTTTTAAATTATATGACATGATGAATCATACTCAACATGATCATGTGCATGTACTAACGAGATTAATAAGCACAATTTTGATCGTTGACCTTAAATTCTTCATGTTTTTAAACTCTACATGCCTCAGCTATGAGTTATGTATCACTACTGTTATCTTCTTGGCTCCTCAGCAGCGAGGAATTGTGTCTGGACACATGCCATCTGTCTGTAATTCATCCAAACCCCAGAGCGTCCAGCCCCACCTCTTCACAACACATTCCATCTCTGACAAATGCCAGCATCTACAGTAGCCAGGCCATCCAGCACGGGCTCTCCTAAGAACACAACAGTAAGCTACAATGGCACATTGTTCTCTGTGCTGTTCTTTCTGCAGGGGAGGGTGAGGAGTGGATGATTCATCAGACATCTTTGCTGCACGGGGGAGGACACGGACCCCAGCCAAGGGTCTGCGGAAGCCTTTATACTGTGCCACTGGGAGATATACAGATTGTAACAGGCGGGGGGGATCTTCCCTTAATTGAGCTGCCATATACTACAACTGCAGCAGCAATGCCATAACCAGCTTTCGATCAGCCACAACTCATTCATAACTGCTGTAGTAATCGGTCTGAACTGGAAACTGAGTCACGTTTCATTTTGTTTCACTGTTAAGTAAAAACAAAGTTTATCAAGTAGCTAGTATTCCAAAATATTGCTTGTAAAAGTACCTAGTACCTAGAACTTTCAAATAGACTATTTTGTAGTATGCAACATGCCCAAATAAGTACTCTGGGACAAATTGCACCTATTGTACCTTGTTCATTGTTAAACTTGCATGTAGAATAAAGTAGCAATTTTTCAGTTTCAGACGCTTAACAATCTCAGTTAAAGGAGAATTACAGCAATATTTCCAATATTTCTGCATAATTTAACGGTTAAGATCTAAATAAAGTCATTCAGAGTGGTTTGATGTGAAATTCCAGAGAAACTTACTGAGTCAGAATTGTTCAGTTTTGCTGAAAGGAACGAGACGTCTGAGGCCTCTAAAACATGGCTGTCCAAATTGAGGCCTGTGAGCACATTTGATTTGGCCTGCCAGAAAGTTGTCCCTCACCTTCATTTTCTGTATTTCTGTAATATTTCTATAGCAACAAATTTCAATATAGTGTAATGTCATGAAAAGATAAATTTTTAAAAACTCAATCTGAAACCTACCTACCTTCTTTATTCATATTATTTTGTGTTTCTGGCCCACCAGAAACATTGCACTTTGGCTCCCTGAAGACAAAAATATGGGAACCTCTGTTCTTAAAGCTACTGCACAGAAAGCAATTGCATGAAATGGTTATGAATGCACTGCCTGATGCCCGAGGTAAGCTTTTGGCCTAAAAAAGCTTTCACGGTGGGGTAGTGCATGGAGCATGTTGTAAGGCAAAACAGCCCCCAAAGCAAACTTATTTTTTCAGATTTCACACATCAGTATTGCATATAAAACTCAGAAGACGTGGAAGTTCAGTGGTTGTTTCGGATAGTAAATAAAATGGCTATTGGCTAATATGGCTAAAAGTAGTCATTGATGTTTATGGAATAAACTCCCATTCTCACTGTGATATGCTCCTAACAGTAGTCACTGGTTTTCACTGGCAACAGTGACTGATTTTCATAGATTTATTTATCATTGTTACTCTGATAGGCCTCTAACAGTAGTCACTGGTTATCACTGATGAATCTAAATATTTCTGTTTAGTGAAAAGCTGGTTTATTTTCTCTTTTTTCTATATTCAGTATTGTAGATTAATTGTAAAATCCTTTCCTCTATTCACATTACTCTTGTTGTGTTATTGTTTTGCTATCCGCTATCAACCAGAGGAGGAGGATGGGTTCCTCTTTTAAGACTTGGTTCCTCTCAAAGTTTCTTCCTCATGCTCTTAGGGAGTTTTTTACTTGCCACCTTTGGCTTGCTAACTGGGGCTTGGACCTGGACTGTCTGTAAAACTACTTTGCGAAAATGCCTGTTGTAAAAAGCACTATAGAAATAAATTTTGACACTATATACAATTGCATTAAGACTCCTGTTTCCTATCACCACCAGGAAATCTCATGGGTAAGATTCTGTACAATGCAACATTTCACATCAAACCACTGAATTACTGTATTTACATCTTAACAATTGAACTGTGCAGGAACAGTGAACATTTTGGTGGAATTCCCCTTCACCCACCTCTTTATATCATTCAAAAAACAGCCAAGACACAGGGCTTGTCTAGATATTGATGTAAAAAATGACAAAACTTTATTAGAGGTCTATTATCATAACTTAACACCTGATTAAAAGTATTAAGTTGAAACACAATGAAATAATGCATTACACAATCTGGGTAACATGTTCTGAATACTTTCCAAACACTTAAGCTGCCCTCAATATAAAGTGCTGCACATAAAAAATTAATGTGCTCATGCTTATCAGCATATATGGTTTAGCCAGAGGTCAGTCAGAATCTTCCCCTGTTAAAGCTGCCACCACGAAGAAAGGTCAAATCTGATTGTTAGCTGCCTGAAATTGTAATAAATTTGTTATTTATTTATCTTTGTCATTTAAATTCATAACACATGTCCAGTTAGTCCCAATTGGGATGATAAAAAAGTAATTTCTAAGACAAACACTAATTAACCAAAGTAAATTTAAGAGTGCGTCTCTCCTAACTTATTTGCTGTGCCACAGCAGCTTTCCAAACAATGACCACTACTTTCACAGTGAGACAATAATAAAACATCAATCCAGCTGCAGACAGCAGCGATAATGTTAATCCTGGAGTCATTATTGTCATTTTATACCTTGTAATGTAAATACTTAATGATACGACTATTTACATAGTTAGTTACTTAATTAATAACATTTACATTTGATTTACATTCTGCATCAGCATGTTCTGCACTTTTGACTTTTTCCATTTGTTTCAGTTGGGAAATGACACAAAATGTAAATGATGTAAAGATTTCTTCAAAATAAGACTACACACATGACAATTTCAATAAATTCAAGTCACAATAAATTATGCCCTCTTTTATCTACAGACTTTCAGTTGAATGCAAAGGTTGAACAACTTACAAATTAAGGGGCATAAACTCAAAAACAGGAAAAAAAAACACCTCTACGATAATGTTCATTTTTGTTAGCACCCCCATGTATGTAGTCCTGTTTTTAAAACATCTATTGAAAAATAAAATAAAAACAATACACTGAAAATTTCCCTAGATTTTTTTTGACAAAAATGCCTCAATGATTTTTAAAATAATCAATTATTAGGGACAAACTGATGCAACAATTTTATATTTTTTAAGGACCTAAAAATTTAGATAAATCAATAATATCAGGAGTTAAAATTTCATATTTATATTTTTATGTATGTAATTTTGTAATTATTAGCACATTATTGGCAACATTTTTACCAAAACCAGTAAACATGCAGGTTGAAAGAAAGTATCAGCCACTATTATTAGCCAGCATTATATTGGTTGGGCTCCATCACTTACTATTGATTCTAACCTTCCAAAATCAATGCAGTTGACTTGCATTCACTTTGCGCTGAATCCTAATTACAATAAAATTACACCACACTTTTGATATTGCCGGTGATAAATATGACTGGCAAGGGTTTTAAGACAAATCAGTAGCTAAGCTGCTGAAAAGCAAGCCTGGTCTTAGCTTAATTAGTCAGCCCCAGGCTACTGGTTGCTGTGTAACAGGGTCCCTCAGGTATCCTCCCCACTTCCACTCTGAGGCACCCTTCACCATGCCTGATGCACTCCAGCTGGTGGGCCACAGAGCTGGTGGGACTTTGACAGGAGAATCAACACAGCTTTGTTTCTGTCTGGGAAATCAGAGCTGTTCACACAGCCTTTGGCAGCACATACAGTGCTGTGAAAAAGTATTTGCCCCCCACTCGACTTCTACTTTTTGCTAATTTGTCACATTTAAATGTTTAAAATCAACCAATTAATTTTAAAATAAGACAGACAACACAAGTACACACAAAATACAGCTTTTAAATGACTATTCCATTTATCAAAGATAAAGATTTATTCAAAACTTACCCATGTGAAAAAGTAATTTCCCTCTAAAACCTAACAACTGGTTGTGCCCTCGACATTAACTTACATAAACTTACAATCTTTTACATGGCTGTGGAGGAATTCTGGCCAACTTTGCTCCACAGTATTGTTTTAATTCAGCTACACTAGAGGGTTTTCAAGCATGAACTGCCCGGTTCAGGTCTTGCCACAGCATCTCAACAGGATTTAATCCAGGACTTTGACTTGGCCAGTCCTAAACCTGAATCTTGGTTCTTTTGGGCCATTCAGAGGCAGACTTGCTTGTGTGCTTCGGATCTTTGTCCTGCTGCATAACCAAACTGCAACTGAGCTTTAGGTCACAAACTGATGGGCAGACAGCCTGCTTTTTCTGATTTTCTGATAGAGAGCAGAATTCATTGTTCCATCAATTATGACAAGTCGTCCAGGTCCTGCAGAAGCAAAGCAGCCCCAGACCATCACACTACCACTGCCATGTTTGACTGTTGGTATGATGTTCTTAAGGTGGTGGCAAGTGAGGCCTGCAGTTCTTTAGATGTTTGTCTGGGTTTTTGTGTGTCCTCCTGGATAAGTCATTGATGTGCTCTTTGTGAAATTTTAGTAGGCTAGTCACTCCTGGGAAGGTTCACCACTGTTCCAAGTTTTCTCCATTTGTGGATAATGGCTCTCACTGTGCTAGATTGGTGGCGTGGATTTCAAACATGGATGCAGGAGAGATGGAGGTGCACAATCGTGCCCTCCAAACTCCAAAACAAATTCTCTGGCAGAAGCATGATCTTTGGCGCTCTTCTTGAAACCCAGCACTTCCGTCACTCTGAATTTGACATCGTCCTTGTTTGTAGTGTTGCGAGTGATGCAAAAGACGCTTTTAAATCTGATTTGAGTGACAAGAGCATCCAATCTACGATGAATCTGTAAAAAATCTGTTTGGAATCACATTTCAAACCACCTCCAAATATGGTTTGGATCTAATTTGCAAAAATCGGATTTCATGTACTTTTTTGCTGTCCAGACTATCAAAAATCAATCTGGATACAATTTAGATTTGGATTTGGGCTGACAGTCTGAATAAGACCTTCAAGATGCACTGTACACTGTCCATATCTGTATTTAGCACTGCCCACTTATGATCCCAGGATGAATGTTAATGTCAAGTGTAAATGGGGCCACAGTGCTAATGTAGGCAACAACTGACTCTTAAATGTCCCATTCTTCTGCTGAGTTTAGCCTTAAGCTATAGCCTACAAATGTGTTTATTAGCTAAAGGTTAGCCTGTGTAGATAGTCTCATGACGAAAAGCTTAAAAGCTGCAAACCACTGACTTTATGCTGATTGCTGTATAAATTATGTCTATAAACTTTACGCTAGCCCCAGTCAGGCCATATAGGTTATGTTTGTTAACTTAGGCTAATAATATGCGGTAAATGTAAGTAAGTAGACAACATTACTTTACTGCCATATCAGTTAAGTTAGGCTGCTTTTTTCATTCAATAAAGCCTAAAGCCTTTTTATATAAAACAAGTGTTGTGTTTGATGTTTTCATGAGTGCTGTCTACAAATTTAGGTTTATCAGTTAACGATTAATCACTAACTTACAAAAAATGTTTTTTATTCAAAAGAATTTGCCAAAGTTCACATCTCCACTCTCAACTAAATGAGTGTTTTTAAAAACCATCCATTAAAGGGCTCTTTAGAGAGCCATCTTACCAAAGAACATTTCTGGGCACCTCAATTTTTTTAGAGTAAATATGGAGCTGAATCAGAAGAATAACACATTTAAAATGAACCGCCCTTCACTCATATAAATTCTTCTTTATATAAAGATGAGTAGCAACTGCTATGAAAGAAATGTCTTTGGTGTTTATCTGTTAACATGTACTCAGGTCAGCCCTGTGGCATCCAACAAGTGTGTTACAACCTGTAATTAGTCCATCTCAAGCAGATATTAGAGTGCCTACAGCTGGCCTGAAATTACTTGTCTCTTTCAGAGGGGAGTGGAAAAACTGACAGATACATAAAAAAGATGATGAGAATGAGAGAAAGAGAGAGATTCAAGCAGCATGGCACTCACTCGAGGAAGCGGGTGATGTACTGGCGGCTGCAGCGAGACCAGTTGGGCGGGGAGGTCCCATACAGTAGCTGTGGAGACATGACGAACGGCCTTTTCCCAATCGGCTCACAGTCGTTTCCATTTCCATCATGCTGAACCCCAAAGCTGCAACACAAGAGCAGAGTGAATACCAAAACAGCTGAACCGACCACATCAAAGAGTGGTCAAAGAGGAAGCCATTCATGATGCGGTCACATCATTCACTTCCCAGTCTTTTCACAATGTCCTGCAGCTGTAGGAATTTATTAAGCCTCAGAAATCTAGGGTTACTATTGTGATTCTGCTATACATTTAATTTACATTAAACGGTTATTTAAATGTAATTCCCTACATAATTAAAAGCACAGTAAGTCATGCATAAATTACATGTACATTTACTTTATAGTACCAGCTGTCATTCCTTTAATTTCTAGATAAAATGGCCATGTAATACAATCTACTCATTTTTCAATATCAGAAAAAAAGCAGACACAATATATTTACCAGAAAACTACAAAAAAGCCTCAACAACTAAAGATACATTTCTGTAGTGTGTCCAGTCTCTGCTTTTATTACAACTTTTAATTTTAAAATGTTGAGATTTTATCACTGTGTATCATCCAGGCCCCACCCAAAATATGGGTGGAGATCATATTGCAAAAAATCATGCATATACAGTTTAAGTAGATAGACGAAGAGTACAGAGGGGACGGAAAACGGTTGGTGGGGGGTCCTTCGGGGCGCCCTAGCTCTCCCTTTCTTCTGCACAGCAAAGCAATATTGCCTACTTATTATTGATGTAATAAGCTATTGTATTTTATGTACAAAGATGTTGAATGGGTGTATGTGTAATGTTTGGCTTGTCTCACTTTATTTGTTTGCCTTATGTACTGTCTGTCTATTGTTGTTTTTTTGTGTGTTTTTTCTTTGTGGCTTGTCTTGTCTTAACTTGTAACTTGTATTTGTTGCTAATAAAAAAAACAGAAATGACAAAAACATTGTAAAAAATTGATGGATAGTTTTTCTTTATGCAAAAAAATCCTAATAAAATATCTCCTTTTTTACTTACAAACACAAATTTGATATCAATGTTTAAGATCCATGCTTCAACAAATTTCTCTGCTTGCTGACAAATTATTAAGTAATATTTATGACCACCATATACCTCCTGTAAACGTCTATGTCCAGTTTATATCCTGTATATGTACAGTGCAATATGCACAGTGCAGTATGTACAGAACTGTGGGCCACATCTGGCTAAAAACTGCAAAAACAAACCTCATAGAATAGTTTCAACAAATTCCTCAGCTCTAGGGCTGGTGCTGCACCCATAAGCTCTGAATACAACAGTGGAAAATTACATTGCATATTACACTTCACCCATGTGCTCAGCAAATGGTTGGATGCAAATCTAGGACAATTAACTTTCAAATCTTAGCCAAGTCGCTGTCTTGAGACACGTTTAACTGCTGGAAACAACCTTTTCTGGATTAAACTAAACCCAAATAGAATCATTCAATTCTGAAGATTCAAACTCTGCTACCATAAATACTTATATAATAATAATGTAGGTAAATATAAAGGCAGATGTTTCCATCAATTTTATTGTCAGATATTTACACAGATTTTACGAACCACGGTAATATCATGAACATGTTGATTAAAATATATCCAGTTGAGAATTATGAAGAAATATAAAGAAGTAAATTTCACAGTTCAAATCTATTGTTCTGCATCAGTGTGAGGATTTTATTTTACTGGGAAAGGTACTGCACTATAGACACTATAGACTCATGTATATGTATAAAACAGTATGGTAGTAAGATACATATATCGTGCTACCTAATTAAAAACGGAAATGCAACATGAAAAAACAAGAGACCCCAATGTTAACGATAATTTCCTAAAATATATTTATTTTAGGGCAAAATATTCTGCCACACTGTGTGTAGTTTTCTCTCTGTGCTTTTTGTGCTTCTGCTTTACTGTCTCTTACTGGAGTTATCTTAAAATTAAATGTTTAAAATGTACTTTAACTACATTATTTAATTTAGCTTGCTAACTTAGCATGTTACTCTGGTACCTAGCTTGCTGCTTAGCAGATCAGACAACTTAGCTAGCTAGTTAAGCTGGATATGATTTAGACAGCTAGCTAGCTAGCTAACGTCAGCTAGAAAGGATGGTAAGGTAGTTAACTCTACTGTGTAATTTCCTAACAACCAATAACCTTAAAAATGTCCATATTAGATGATCATTTACTTTGATTAACAAATAATTAAATAAGTAGATAAAATAACTTAATATGGCATAGTATGTGTGTAAATTTGCAGAAAGAAAGAAGAGTCAGTATTGTTCTTCTCAGCATTGAGGGCTTCAAATAGTTGAAAAACATTGCTGAGCCAATTTCTGTTTCATATTAGACCAAATATTCTCTATAGGGTTTAATTCTAGACTCTGACCAGGCCAAAACCATCAGTATAACTTTATTTCAAAACGATTGTAAAACAATATCTCAGGCATCAAGCAGCATATTTATAACCATTTCATGTCATAACTTTCTGTGAGGGAGCTTTTAAGGGTTTTAAATTCTTTAGACATCTGGTTCTTATCAGCACCACTGTGAACAATTCTGACTCGATAGGTTTCTTTAGATTGGAGCATTCACATCAAACCACACTGAATGATTTTGTTTACATCTTAACCATTTACTTACGCAGAAAACTGGGCGGAATTCCTCTTTAATTACAGACTTTACATGGTGTCACAAAAAACATTTAACAAAGGCTTGCACTGGGAAAAAATATGACATCAGCAACTTCAAAACATTTCAGGCTCAATGTTAGACACCTTTGAAGAGAGCCATGTTCAACTTTGCACCCACATCTTCTCATTAAGATGGAGATATTGGGAAATCTGAAAGAAACGTCAGTGTGGAGGATAAAGCATGCGGATAAAAGCGTTCTGTATCCGAGTGTAACTGATACAAGAGAAAGATTCCCTGCTGATAAGTTGTGAACGATAAGCCTGACTATTGAATCATCTAGTGAATATTTTTCACTAATGAGAACAAAATCATCTTGATGTCCTCTGAATGTGTCTTTGCGTGCCATTCAGTGTTACACTAATAAGATTCAGATATGTGGTGTGGGTGACGGCCTTTTGTGTGGGTGCAATTTGCTTGTTGGACTGGCAATAATGTAGAAATTATAAATACATTTTTAGAACAGACACTGTTTTAGAGGCTTAGAAACCCACTGGAATCTCTTTTGTGATGATCCAGATTCAACCGTGCAATATGTTCAGTTTGATGATTTGCAGACTTTAATTAAGTTTTTAATTTGGTAACTGCTATGAAACTCGTTTTTAAGTTATGTAGTTGTGAGAGTTATGAATTACTGCATAATTCAAATCACTGAGATGTGGACAAAGTCACTCAGAGTGGTACGATATGAGAAACCCTGATGGTGATAGAAACCAGGGGTTGCGATGTCTACAACACAGTCACTTTGTTTGTTATCCAAAATGACTAGTCAACTTACCCAACAACGGTAAAATAGTGGTAAAACTGTAAAAAAGTAAGGTTTCTTTTAGTACTACTTTCCCTTACAGTGTCTGGCATATATCTCTCCACCATGCATGCATGTTAATAATACATTTTAGGCCAAAGCTTTGTTTTGAAACTATTGTTTTTTTTTTGTTACAACTTCATGTAAGAACCTGCTGAGAGGTAGCTTTTAGAGGCATTAAATGCTTGAATTATGCAGACGTGATGAAAAATAAGTGGAATGCTCTGTTAACAGAGACTGTTGCCCTTTCATGCCCCTAGTGGCAGAGCTGCCAGCGTCTATAATTGATAATAGTTCCACATTTGAAATGTCTAACAGTAAAAACGACATTAGCATCTTAATCTCTGGAATGTAAGAGCATTTTCTTAATTTGTGCATAACTTCTTACATTTGCCTTCAAAGGCTCTTGCACATAACATGATACCCATTTGTTTCACATCAAGATTCTCTGTTATCTTCGTCACTAGTTTTCAAAACAGGTGCAGCAAGTTTGATGGAAGTAAACTCCTTCCATGCCATTTCATGTGTCTCTAATGTTGACTGAATTACGAATGTAGGGTTTCTGACATAAGCTAAGGTAAGTCCTTAGTGTCCTTTCCTGAGTGTCCACTGGTCAGTTTCATACAAAGTGTAGGTGGACATACGAATCCGCTAACTACACACAGTGAGGAGCAGATGATGTGCTTCTCATCCCCTCTTCACAGCCTTATAACTCCAGATGTAAGATGTGTGTTCATGAAGAGGGTTAATGTGCACGGTGTAAACAGTAATCCGTATGCATGGAAAACTTTCAGGTGGTGCTGTGTTGTCTGACACTATATAAGTGGTAAGATGCTGTTGCAGCTATTGGGTGCACTCTGCTTACAGAATACACTTGTGCATATTAAATACTGTATTCAGATGTATTCAGATGCCACAATCAGGTGTGTAGCCAAAGGCTGGCCAGAGGTGGCCTGTGCCACCCTCCTGGCCACCCTAGTTAAACAAAGTAAGACAGTCAGCTATCATCAATGAAGCAGTCATCAGAGAAAGTAATGCTACTTTATGGTGAGAATCTGCCATCAGTTACCAATCAGTTATATGACACTGCACTCAACAATCAGCGTATCGCATAGGTGAGTGAACACTGCTCATAATGTTAATGTTATTCTAGATCATTTTGCTTAAGGGTGCAGTTAACATTTTAGACAAACATTTAAAATCACCTAAATGAATCTCTACATAAGTGTAGTTCAGCATAGAGTAGAAATAGTACATGGAACAAAACGTACAATATTTTTCACATACCACAATGGATGTTTTCCATGGTGGTATGTGAAAAATATTGTACGTTTCACATACAATCATTTTTAGTCTTCCAGAGAGAACCTCCATTTCAATATGTGGTTAACTGGGTAATAATACTATTATTTTGTTAATTTTCATAGAATTATGACCACACTAATCATTTTATAATCTTTCCTGTCAACTCCTCACAACATATGACATGTAAATGTTATGCAGCAGCATTCACGTGAAGTTTTACGCAAAGATCTATGATTAACCCTACTGCACTGAGCATCTGGCCAGCAATTCGTTCTGAGTATTTGTCGGTGGCCCCTTAAACTAGTTTCTATCACTGCATAAGTCTTCCTTTATTCTTGGAGGTGTCATGTTTTCTGAGTGAACGTGCATGCTTGTTCAGACAGCAATCGGGATCAGTAAGTTCTTCACATTGACTGAGTTCAACAGAGTAAAAGTGTAATTTCCAATTTATGTGTTTGCTTGTTCAAAAATGTTAAAAAATCTACAAAATGTTCAGCTTCTTTAGATCATTTTCTTTACATATCAAATAAACATAATAGCAGCACTGAGAAATCAACTGATTAGTAAAGAAAAGCAGATTTTTTGCATTTGTCTTAAAGGATTAAAAGTAAAGAGGGGATGAAGTGCTAGGAGAATGTTGGACCTACTTGTGGCCAAGCTCATGTGCTACAGTGAAAGCCAGTGGCAGCCCCGTGTCTTCATTGATGCTGCAGCTGCGATGAGGCTGGCACATTCCGGCCACGTGAGACAGCCCCAACGTCTCACATGGCTTATTTGTGGCAGCACAGATGTCTTTCCTGTGGCAAAGAGAAGTGTTAACCGTGCCTATATTGTGGCAAGGAGCTGATATTACCACCTTCCACTTCTCTTAAGCAGTTTTTATCTCTATTTGCTGTATCTGCAGTCTGACCACGGACAATAACTGTGACGCATTTCCCTGTGCTTTGAAAAGAACTGACTCAAAGTACACCCACCACCAGTTCACATAATAGAAGTCATTGGGCAGTTGCTGTCATGTAATCTGACATCAGCAGTGATAGACAAGTAATCTGTGATGCTTCAAAGGCTACAGCTGTTGTGTTGGGAAAGAGAAATGAGAGAATTACAGAAGACCAATATAATTATAAACAGCTTTCTACATAAAAGTAAATAATATGTACATGTAGTTTTTTATTCTCTTTTACTTTTAAAATAATAGATCAATATTTGCCATCAATAAGCCACTAGGCTGTGGAAGAGTAAATTTTCCACTGTCTCTTCTGTGTGTTTCCCAGAGTGCGGCTGAGTAAAATTCTCAGCATTTTCCACACAGCTCAATATCTCAATATCTCAGATTAGTTGAAATATGAATAATTTCTAATACTTTCTAATAATATATGAACTCAACAATCCATGTGCTGTATCCACAGAAAATGTAAGTTATATAAGCGCATGTAGACTTTGCTACTCGTGTGTAGCAGCTTAAAGTTTCTTCAGCAGGGGGCGCTGCACAAATTACGATTCAAGTCGCCTTTGTGTGCATCATTTAAAGAGAAGAAACAGCCATAAATCCACACCAGCAGGATCTAATAAATGAAAGTGTTTCCAGTAAAAAAACAAGAGGTGGAATAGTGTTAGCTTAGTCAATATCATATAACATAATCTATGATTTCTATGAATGAATTTAATCAAATCAGTTAAGGCTAAAAGCATGTATGCTAAAGAATGTAGGTATACGCTGCAGCAGACCACATATGCATTTGGGGGTGGGGGGGGGGCGTTTGATATAATCACTAATCCTGATTTATGAAATATAGTGCTAATTATTTGCTGTATTCTGTCAGTAAATGCACATGCAAAACACCCATTCATAACAATTTCATTGAAATTTTAGTCAATGGTACAGTAGCTGTAAATCTGTATAATTAGTTCTAAACAGAGTTCTGCAGAATCCTGCCTGGTCTCATATTGATACCAGAAAATATTAAGGCAAGCAAAAGAACTGCATTTATTACGGTGTTGGTCCCTGTTTGGAAGTTGGTTAAAACTTCACAAGAATGTCACTCACTTTTATAAGAACTGAATTTGTTGAGTGTAAAGATTGTACTTTTCTCTTATGTTGTTATGTATTTTAATTTATTTAAGGAATTCACCATCCGCCCAATGGCTTCTATTATAAGCTATTTTTTCAGTCAGTCAGTTTTCTGTTTTTTTTTTTTTATTACTGGGAAATACGCCAAAATCATTGTTCACAAAAAATTGACGTATGATGTAGTGCCCCCCCTGATCAGCATATGGGTACAACTAACTCCCACTGCTGCAGAAAGGCTGACAAAGGCCATACTGAGTGACAAAGCCACTGCTGTCTATGAACATTAAATGTATTTGAAAGCAAAAGGGCTCATCTATTACATGTCCTCACAGCACAAAGAGACTGGGGCTATCATTGTGTCGCCTGTTATTTCAGTGCTAATAAGCTTGTTAAGAGCATTTTGCACTAAAGCAAAACCACATGAGTGGGCCTGTACTGCAGTATTTTATTTTAATATTTATTAGTCTAGTGTGATTTGGCTGCACGAAAGAGAGTCTGACAATCCACACAGCTAGATTATAAACTCACTAGCAGAAACAATGAACTGCAATCGGTGAGGATGAGCTCCTATTTTCCTGCTTGGAAGGTGGATTATGTACTTCATGTAAACAGATACTTTTCATTAGAGCAGCCTTCACCATGTCAGTGTTGTTTTCCTGTCATATACATGATAAATGATCAAGTAAGCACCTTGTAAGAAGGACAGCCACATCATGGTGGACCGGATGGTCATCTCCTTTCGTGTTGAGGCGCTTCTGCCATTTGCAGAAACTGCTGAGGCTGTTGTCCGCATGGTGGGTGATCTTCAGGTCCTCCTGATTGCATCAGATGAAATGGGGGAACATTCTCAGTAATCAAACATGCTGACTAGTAATAGCACTTCATGTAATTCCACATGCAATTCATACAGACATGGTTGTGGATGTAAGAATCTGTGACAAGTAGTATCTCTGACCTGTCATGGGACATAAAATGTGACAAAAGCTTACTGTGGCTTAATGTACTAGTACAGCAACCTAGAACTCTAGAATTTCTCTCAGATATTACTGGTCACAAGTACGCTCTACGGCCAAAAGGATGAACCAGTAATCTAAACACAGTAATAATTTTTACGCTGAGCTTTTTTTCTCTCCATTTTCTCTCTTGACATGGCTTAATGTACTGAAAGACTGACCTGGAAACACTACATTTCTCTCAAATGTTACCACTCATAGGCACTCTCTATTAAACAATGAACCTGTAAGATTACAATAAAATAGTAATTTTTACTTTAAGCTAATCTCACAGAAAAATATAAGGAAAACTTTCACATATTACTGGTCATAAGCATGCACTCATGCCAAATATAACAGTAACATGAGAGAAATTTAATGGAACTAGGTTGTTTCGGTATATTAAGCCAAGTTAAGCTTTTCTCACGTCAGGGGCAGATTTACTAAGAGAGGAGCTAATTATTGACCATTTACCAACACTTTGCACCTGGGGGTGGCTGGTTATCTACTAAGAACTTCCATGCAAACAAACAGCAACAGGTGCAATTTTGTAATTAACATATGATTAGCGAAATATAACCATGTGTTTAGATCCAGTGTGTTTTCGTATGAAAGCCTGATTGTTTTAAAACAATGACAAAGTCAAAAAAGGAGTTATCATTGAAAAAAAAAACCCTAATTATTTAGAGAATTATTTTAATAATTACAGTTATTATCTATAAATATTATAATTATTTAATAATTATAAGACATTATTTCAAGATCACGCATCAGAAATTCAAGAGAATAAGTGACTTTTTGTGTTTTAAAAAAAAATGTTCATTTTTTGGGGGGAAGCACTGAGCGTGAGTAATGTGCTGAGTGCGTTTGGAAATTGCATGACACTGTAAAATCCCTGTTTCACTGAGCAGACAATTTGAGAATCGCAACCTCTTACCTACATGCAGTACATTGAAGAACAGCAGGGATGTTTCACTGAGCACATAAACCATAGCCCACAGAAGCCACAGTGCACAGGTATAACAAAGTAATGAATGCATGTAGTAAAGTATGTATTCTTTGCTTTGAGAGGGGAACTAAATGCATATTCACTGAGGCAAAAGTGAAAGAGAGCAGCAACCACCCATTTAATCCTATTATGGGCTCTAAAAGACCACTGCACTTTGGTAAAGTTGAAATGACAGAACGAAAAGCATTATTGGAGCCATGTCATGTAGAGACGTTACTACACAGTATTTTATGACAGCTTCTATTTGTATTACTTCACTTCAATCTCCTTTTCATCAGGGTCTAATTCAAACCATCTGATCCAAGTGCTTCTTTTCACACTGGCTGCATTTCTGTCTGGCTTACCTCATCCTTTTCTAGCAGAATGAGACGCACAACCACAATATTGATGGCATTTCCAATGCTGGCATCATGAAACAACCCTGCGACCTGTAAAAACAGCAAAGCACTATGATACATAGGATACGGAATGGCATCAACATCAACTATGGGTGCATGGTATGGAAGAAAATGCTGGTATTGCAATTATATTGTTACATTGTAAAAGATTTTAGTGCAAAAGCTGCCTGAGGGTCCTCAGTTCTGCAACATTATGCAGTACAACAGATAGATACAGATAGATAAATCTAGCCAGCTAGCTTCAGGCAGCAAATGCTTTTGTTCATGCAACTGTTACACAGTTAAGAGAACAATTATCCCTCACATCATAAACTAAACATCACACTACAGCTGTTACATGCACTTATACACCAGTGTAAATAGATGGGAGTGACCAAATATGTTTTATTTGTAACATGGAATGAGCAAGTTAACTGAAAACACAAAACACCATCATGGTTGGAATATCAAAACATGCAAAATGCATTCAAACATATCTTTGGGGTAGAAAAGACATGTTAAAAATCTCCTGTAAAACAAATTGGAAGGAAAAAAGTTAATTAATCCCATTTGTGGCCATACAATGCCAAAAATGTTTTTATTGTCTTTAAATGCTATTTTATTTTGTAGGAGCTGTACAACCTTTTTTTGATATGAAGAAAGCTGTTTATTAATGTCAGCATGGATGTCTTTATGGAGAAGTGTAAACTGTTTTTACAGAACTGGGTTCTCACCCCTTTCCTTCCCCCATTTGCTCGCTAGCAGCTCAACAAAGTTATGGAGGAAAACATTTTTATTTGATTATATTAAAGCAGCACTATGACAGATGTTATTGTTAAAGTTAAAGAAAAGAGCATTACTGAGTCAGGTGTGCGTACAATGTTGCAAGTCACCTTTTAAAGCCAGAAATAATCATCTAAAAATCCGTCCGGCTTGATGATTACATCTCAAATGCAAAGTCAACATTATACTGATAAAGATATAATAACAGTCGTATATAATTCTCCCATATCATCAAAAGACACGTCCTTCACCAAGTTTTGAATGAGTTGTCTTTGAATGCTCTTTCAGTGTGTCCGCAATCATTGGGTTCATCAGCTTGGGGAAGGGGTCCAAAACACAGCCCACCTTACAAAGCGTTCTTCCACACATTGCATGCAATTACACATTTCCATCAGAGAGGCCTCTAAATCCCCAAAACTTCATACTGCAGCTCAATGTCAGATTTCCATTCCGCTGGCAGAATGGCCACTGGGGGTCTCCAGAAAGAGGTTAACCAAACCCCGGCTGCTCATGCAAAGTATGTTGCTCAGACAGAATCAGTGATTGTAGCCCTCTCGTTCAAATACAGTTTTTAAACATATTTTAAAGCAATACCTTCAGCACCTTCTGCAGATTACGCTGTACAGTGCTCACAGGAAAGCTATGGATAAATCAACCAGCAGTAAACTAACAAAGGCAAAAGCAAAACGGAATCTCCAGTTACTCTCAACAGCCTCCTCTGTAACAAGAATTGCTCCGTATGAACGAGAGTGAGACTATACATGCAAAGAGGTTGGCACAATAGGCTATATTATTATATATGATATGTAGAGTCATTAGATGGAATGTGCAGCCACTGTTTTTCTTGTTTGACAGCTTTCTTTGCAATGTATTAAAAATGCATCAGTGAATCAAAATCGGCCTGCAGCAATTTGACCAAATGATTGGTTTTTGTTGGACTTCATGAATACCTTGATTTATAAAAGCTACCACAGAAACATCTGAAACTGATTGGTCAAAGCACATAGTAAACAACACTGTGATTGGTTTGAGGGCTTATTTGCATATCGCAGCCAATATCAGTACTGCGAAGGCCAATATAATTATAACTATCAACTAACAATAACAACTACCTCAAACTGTCTTCACGCTGTAAGCTGTTCTTCATCTTCAGGGGATCATGAAAGAAAGTCTGAGCACATGAGGCAGTCAGATATTCATTAGTCACTCAACAGTCCATCAGTAAAAATTAGTAGTATGTTTTGTGTGAAAACATTACGTATGGTTTCGAATCATTTAAAGTATGTAGACACAGTGAACAATCTCTTCAAAGAAAGACTTTCTGTGAGAAAAAATATTCACTGAGTAGAAATGAAAAAAGAAAATGCAGACTTAAAAGGTAAAATATATAAAAAGTTAAAGCAAAGGCTATAGAACCCATGCTGAGTCAAAAGAAACTATGAACTGGCTTACTCTCATTGCTATGCTATCTCTCCCATACCACAAAATCCTCACTGAAGTCCATGAGAATAAACTTCAATATGTGTCAGAGGCCCTGATTACAAAGTGCTCTAGTGAATTAATGAGGCATCTTTGATGCTCTTCTGTCCATTTGGTGGGCAGGAACTTTTACCCTGGCTAAGTTAAGAGCTGATCTTTCCTGAGCTCAAACGTTCTGGTTTAACAGCCTGTGATCAAAGCTTGGCGATGTCCATGCTGGTAAACACTATTTGAAAAAAGCCTATTTAAACTAATTACCTTTAAGATTAGCAAAAACACACCCCAGAGGGAAACTGCTAATGGACCATGACTAAAGATACAACACCATATCCTCATTACACAGCATAAATTGAACGAGCAATCCAAACAGAGAAATATCATTAGGGGTTAAGGAGGCCTCCGTCTGCAGCTAGATGATATCAGGAAGACGCTGGTGAGTAGTTCACTCTGACCTTAACTGAGCTTCCCGAAGAACAATGATTATCTAACGAGAGCTGAGCAGACACGGTCTGAGATTATCTTTAATCATCTTTAATGGCAATTCCACCAATTTGTTTTTTTTGTTTTTTTTTTGCTTTGGATGGTAACTAAAATGCAATCCTATCGCGATTGTAAAGAAATCTGAGTGGAGTGGTAAGTTTCTCTACTGTAATGATTACAGGGGGCAGGATGCACGTGTAAGAGTTTTACTGTTCCCAGGAAATAAGTAGACTTATTCATTATTCAAACAAAATAAAGACTTGAAAGAGCTCTACCATGAAATAAACCAAGGACTAAACAACTTCACAGAGCAGAGACGACACAAACAGTGGCTACAAACACAGGTGTGTATATGTGGGAGGTAATGAGTCGAGTGATGAGTCCAGACAGTGAGTGTGCGGAGCCAGGGTGGAGCTGGACTTGGAAAAGAAAAACAAACAAAACCATATGGTCCAACATGGCCATCTACAATGACCCATTTCATGTCCAACTCTAAACAACTTTGTTCACATCTCAATGACTGAATTATGCAGAAACTGGTCCTGGAGATCTGCTGCCCTGCAGAGTTTAGCTCCAAGCCTAATCCACACACCTCTGATCCAGGTCATGAAGGCCTTCAGAGTGCATCTGAACAAAGGTGCTGGATCTAAACTCTCCAGGGTGGTAGATCTCCAGGACCGGGATTGGGCAACCCCTACCCAGTGGCAGATCTAGAACATTTTACCAGGGGTAGCAAAAGCATGACAGGTTGCACTGACAGGGTGGCAATGTTTACAGATGTTCGCTCAATGTTAATGAGGAACCTCAGTGAATGAGCTGTTGGAGAGTTGTTCTGTCAAAAAGCTCTCCTCTTAAAGGCACAAACACCTACCCCACAGCGAAGTGGCAGACATTTTGGGGTGGAATCTGGGGTGGCGAATCAGATTTTAGGGTGTGATCTCGCCTCCCCGGTCACCCCTTAAAAACCACACATGCCCCTGTCCTACAGATTTGGCAGCCTGTATATGTTAGGCTTCAGTTCACTAGCAGCAGTTTAAAGGAACAATTCACCAAAAAAAAATAAAAATGTACTCATTTTATATTTACCACAAAAAAAAGAATCTTACTCCAGTCTAAAATGAAGAGCATGGCAGAAAAATCATGCAATTTTCCCCTTAGCCTTAAAGGAGATCAGTGTAATATTTTGTGGTATCTAGCAGTGAGGTTGCAACTAACTGAATGCCCCTACCTCACCCCTCCCTTTCCAGGAAGTAGAACCTATGGTGGATGTCAGGTTTTCTGCCCTCGCCTGTCCCAATTCTGTTTTGCTTCTTTATGTTTTGCTTCTTTTTCAATAAGGATTCACCCACTCTTGCTTTTCTTGTGCTAAATAATAAGTATGATCCTCCACTTGTCAAAATTTGGGTTCTCTAACTTCTCACAATACAAAATGGTTGGCCAGCGCCAGCAGCCGCTTCAGCACAAAAACTCAAAAGGCACTCTCTAGAGAAGGGTGTCAAACGCAACCATTAAAGGGGCCATATTAAAAAATCTCAACAAATCTGTGGGCCAGAGAAAAAATGTTTTTATTTCATTTTTAATTAATGTTGTGCTGTAACCCGAACTGGCCATTGTTTTTCAAATTACGCAAAAACTTCAGCAGTAAAATACAGGCACTTAGTAGTAGAGGGCCTTGAAATATTCCATGAATACTTGAAATATCCAAAATTTTAATGTCCCCCAGGGTCTTTTAAACCTACCTATTTGCTTGTACTAGATGCCTGGCATCCTATCTTTGCTGCAAGTTCATTCATTCCTGTGCTCAGTTTCTGAGCTGCTGAGTTGACGTTAAGTGTTTATATTGGCTAAACTGCAGCTGAAATGCAGTTAGTGTGTTTGGTGATATGACTGGTGTGTAGAATTGTGTAGAACTGAGGTGTAACCGCTGTCCTATAGACTGTTGTTGGAGTAGAGAGCCAGAGTGCACATTGGGTTGCAGTGCATGCTGGGGACTGTTGTGAAACGGGCTATTATTAATAGAAAATGTAAATACTTTTGTGGGCCGGATAGAATTGGGCCTTGTGTTTGACACATGGGCTCTAGAGCCAGTGTATGGTTTGTCCGTTCTGAGCTGCTGTACAAACGTGGCAGCGCAACATGATGCGGTCTGTTTGAAGAGGACCCACTTCCAATGTAGATATGATATTCTATGCTAACGAAAACAGAAAGATTTGTAGTTACAGGTGATTTTACGCTAATAAAAACATGGTTTTGTATACTACATATTTCATTTCTGCTAATAGATCCCTCTGATCTTACACTTCTCCTTTAATGTAGTTGATCAGCCAAGACATGTTTGGTGTCTGAAGTTTGCTGAAGCTACGAGACTAATGTAGCCAACAAGTATAGGAAACTCACTGCACAAGTAGCCTTATGCAGACTGCATGCCTAAATTGCATGCTTGCAGCATATGATGTAAACAACTAAACAACTTGAACTTGTTCAACAAGTTATTCCTTGTGCTTAAGAGAAGCACTGAAAACAACTGTTCCTATGTTGATAACAAATTTTTGGCTGGACCCGCAATAAGAAAGAGATGCTCACTTAATGGAACAGACATGCTTAATTATTTGACATGCCTCTTGTATGAATTCCTTAGAAATCTCTCTAATTAGATAGATAAGAATTTTTTTTACAGACCATTTGACTGGGTGACTTAGCTGAGCACATTCTCTTAGCACAATATATAAAGACTCTCATTCATTCTTGTCTCCACGAACTTTCCAAGCTGCAAAAGAGGAGGGCTTCTCGACTGAAAAGATGAAACGCATAGCTGAGCAAATAGCACAGAGAACATTAAATAGGCTTTGTGCCTTATTCACTCATCAGCCTCTGCTACCTGGGATAAACACTGGCTTTTTCCACACAGTTAAACAGCCTGGACAAAGATTCAACCATGTAGATACACGGTGTACTGCCAGAAAACATAACTGTCAAATCAGACTTTTCTCCCAGTCAAAAAGCTGACCATTTATGCATAAAAGTCAGGAAGAGACACACCCTTGGAGATGGCATACAAGTGCCCACAACCTTGATGGGCATTTAGCAAGAAAAGTGCTGAAAAAAATCATGTGGAACAAAAAGTTGCAGAGGAAACTGTGGATAATGGAATGTTTCCTCTTTACATTATACCTTTCGCATCCAACTACAGGCCTGTAATGGAAATCTTTTTATTTCTTCCTACAGGGTTTTCCTTGACATGCCCTTCAGTGGCAACAGCCAGGCAAAGCAAAAGGCACTCAGAGTGTATTGTGGAAAATGTGTCTAACGGCCTGCCTGCAGCTGTATTACAGCGAGGTCAGCTGACTTGGATCCAGTTCAACAGAATGAATGTTGCCTCAAAGTGCTCTGCAGCGAGCCGTCTGCAGAGAAAAAAGGCAAAGCCTGAGAGTTACAAGAGGAAACAATGGTAACTTGAAACATCACAGCAGACAAAGGAAAGAGTTTTGGATGTGGGAACACTTCTGTGGATCGTTAGACTGGAAAATAAGGTGCTGAGGTTGAAGAAAGAATGGGACACACACACACACACTTTGATAAGTACAAACCTGAATTCCAAAAAAGCTGGGCCAATACGTAAAACGCCAATAAAAAACACAAAGCAGTGATTAGTAAATTCAGTTAGAACTGTATTTAAACGAAAACAGTACAAAATACTTAATTATGTTAAGATTCTGTAATCATTGGCATCCTGCTTATGTTGAACACTTTTATATATTGTTTATTTTTTACTTATGTATATATATAAATTTCCTTTTTTTTTGCACCCCTACTTTGGGGATTGACACAACTTCATCCAGTTTTGAAAACTGAATTTTTAACATTTTCTGTTATATAAGTCTAAAGCTGTGCAACTGCATGGCACCTTCATTGTTTCATATTGTGTATAATGCATCACATTTTTCATGTGTAACATTATTGTTGTGTAATTCACCACACGTTTTCAATGAGAGACAGTTCTAAACTTCAAACAGGCCAGTCTAGCACCCGCACTTTCTTATTATGCAGCCATGCTGTGGTAACACATGTAGAAGCGTTGCCATGCTGAAATAAGCATGGACATCCATGAAAAAGACGGCATCTAGGAGGCAGCATATGTTTTTCTAAAGTGTGCATATGTCCTTCAGCGTTAATAGCCTTTACAGATGTTGCTGTTACCCACTAATAGACCCCCATACCATGACAGATGCTGGCTTTTGCACTTTACACTGGTAACAGTTCTTTTCTTCTTGGGCCCAGAGAACATAACATATTTGCATAATCAGTCTGAAAAGTTGACTTATTAAACCACAGTGAACATTTCTACGGTGCATCTGTCCATTTCACATGAGCTTGAGCCCAGAAAAGTCAGCAGTGTTTCTTGACAATTTGCTTTTGCTTTGTGTAGCACGTTTTAACCTGTTTTTGTGGCTGCAGTGACAAACAGCATTTGTTGACAACAGTTTGTCAAAGTATTTCTGAGTCCATGTGGTGATCCATGACAAAAGCATTTTTTAAAGCAGCGATGTTCAAAGGATTGAAGGCCACAGGCATTGTGAATTTCGGCCTTGGCTTTTGCACACGGACGTTTCTCTGGGTTCCCTGATATTACATACTATATTATGCAATGTGTACCGAAGGTGAAAGACCAAAAATCCTTGCAATCACTCATTGCAGAACACTGGACCTCATTCACCAATGATTCTTAAAAAGAACTTTCTTCTTAAAACCCACTTACACCATTTTCACTAAGATTCTGACATTCACCAATGTTTTCTTGGTAAGAACAGAATCCACACACATTTAAGAACAAAAAGGTGCAAACAATTCTGTGGTTTAAGAACATGTCATGAATCTGGCATAGATTTTTACTGAGGACTTTTCTCAGGAACAAATTTAAGACAAAATTTAGATAGATATTGGTAATTGAGGCCCATATTCTCTGTTGGCTTTTCCTAGTATGCCTGTATCAACTGTTTAAGATGTTTTTGAACATCTCACAATGTTTTAGCCTTAAATAGCTCCTGACCCAACTTTTTCCAACAATCTCATGCCTAAATCGTCCCATCATTGCCTCAGACCACACTGGCTTATGTCATCTCAAATAGACTTGCTATGTGGTTTCTGACAGTGCATAACATACTGTTATCTATAAAATGGACAACAAAAGACTGAGATTGAGAAGACACTTGGGTTATACTCATATACTCACAATGTTCATGACTGCTAGAACATAGCTCTCCACTCCGCTCCTGCCATGGTACTCCACCATTTTTGGGTCAGCCACCACCAGCGTCTCCACCCATTTCTCCCTGCTGATTGAGCGCTGTCTCCTGCGGTGCTGGCGTCTCTCCCGGCGCTCTCGCTGTCTCTCCCCTCGAGCTGCTCCTCCCTGAGGATCTGAGATAGTAAACACCTCATTCAGAAAACGACTCATTCACTAAACTGCTCTTTCAGTACCATTCACTTACTTCATCATAGCTTCCTGATCAGGGTTGTCACTGTGGACTATATTACTACTTTAAGAATCTACCAATTATTTGACAAATAATCAATCAATGTTTAAAAAATAACAATAAAACCCAAACAGTAAAAACCTCAACAATACCAAACCATGCACAGATATTCAAAGAATAATAATAATTAATAATTTACTGGACAAAAGACAAACTAAGAAGTCTGTAAACAGACTTCATTATGAAAATATAAGAAATATATGTGGGGAAAAAATGCATACAAATTGATGTCCTTCTGGCTCTTTTTCTTGAAGCAAGAGAGACCAGTACAAGAATCATAAAATATAATTTACTTCTATTTTTCTACATAATTTGAGCACAGTAGCAATCATTTACCTTGTATGAGCATTTCATGATGAATGGACCAATAGAACTGGCCCAAAATTACTTGGAATAAAATTCTGTTGCATTAACTTAGATTAAAAGAACATTGTTGGCCTTTTCGGACCGTAAAATATGACACCATGCACACTGCAAACTAATACCAGCATTTATAACAGCACTGTAGATTCAGTACCGTTACTTAAAGTCACTGTTATTTCCTCCAAACATAAATGTGATTTACATATTCGTGAAGTTATTACATTTACTCTAACATCTCCAGCAGGAGTTAGTGATTTACTGCGGTCTTATCCAGGTCTTTCACCTTTGACACCACAGGTCCCATTGGATGACTTTCCCTCAAACAAGGACTGCACCAGCTGGCTGTTGGTTTGAGAGGTATCTCGCTTATAGATGACATGGGCCTGTGGCTCTGCTGTTCCGTGCGGTTGCTCCAGCGGCCTGATGAAGAATTCCTCCTTTGAGAGTTTAAACAGTCCTGTCTACAGAGAACAGGAGGTCAGACCAAACTGACACTAATTACAAAGCACAGAAATCCACAGCACATGCATTATGCTACCCATTTGGAACTCAGGCTATATAAAGTACCTGAGGGAGAAAAACAGAGGTGCAGTTGAGTTTATTTTCTGAGATTCTTCACAGGGCAGCCAACCATTCAACTAATTTGAGAAGAACCCATCTGGAGTATGTTTGAGGGTAAATGGGCAACAGATGAAACTGCTATGGACTACAGTGATGGTACTGAAGGATGTTCATTGCCACACTTGGCAATGCATAAAACACTACACAACACAGGTGTAATGATGCACTTTTTTAGGTTTTATATGATTCTTAATTCAGTTTTTTTATATTTTAATGCAAAAAAACCTGGTTCTACAGATCTCTGATTAAATACTACATTGACTGATTCTGCTCAGATAAATAAAAGTTCCCCAACATAACTATCTTAATGCCCGATATGTTGCCCTCTACCAACCCCGTAAATAACAATCACTAGGATTTATAAGTGAAAAAAAGCCCAGTCGTTTGAAAATTGGTACATAAACAGAATAAGCACCCTTCCCGTTCCCGCACCGTTCTATTTAGAACCAAGAGTTTTGTATAGAACCACTGTCATGAGAAATGGTTCTTCAGGTTGATGGAGGATGTGTTGAATATGGTTCTATATAGAACCTTTTTTTAATCTCCTGTTGTTACAATGTCAAGCTTCAAAAAGGTTCTATTTTAGAATAGAATTTTCAAGACCGCCAATATGTACAAGTTCTTAATTTTTTAGGAGAGTAACATTAACCTTTAAGCCTGAATGGATGTGTAGCCGTCAAGAAGCTGTTACTGAGAAAAGAAACAAGAAAAAAACAAGAAAAGAGAAACTTTGCAAGTCAAACAAAGAAGCTGCTGGTGTTCTCAGAAGGATGGACTGACCACCCCAGAGCCCAGACCTAAACATCACTGAATGTGTTTGGGATTATTTGGATTGTGAGAAGCAGCAAATTCAGCCAAGACTGAACTTTGGAGGTGTAAAAAATATCCCTGCAGATTTCTTCGAAAAACGAATAGAAGCTGTAATAAAGGTAAAGGGTGAACACACTAAATACTGAGAGACTGACATATTTAGTTGTTGAGGCTACTGATACAGGAAATAAAATAAATGAAGGGTGGTCTCTGACTTTTGCACATTATTTTACCAAAACATATACATATTTACTTCAGTGTAAATGAAGTTTAATGTAAAATGGCTTACAAACAGATTGACTAACAGTCACCGGAATTAACATTGTTATGTATATAAAAAATGCCAACAGCAAAAGTTAAAGATAACCCTTGTCTTGCATAAGGCTGACAATTCACAAGTGCTTACTAAAAATTCACAAGTGCTTACTAAATATGTAAACTCCTAAAGAACAAAAATTTCAGGATAAACAAATCAACATAGTGCACACAGAACCATTTCCCTATCAAGTCCACGTCATATTTGAGCCAGCTAACAACTCACCAGGCCATCGCAGGTGCTTATAGTTGCTTGACCCTTGGTGGCTGCACTACTCCACACCTCTCCGAGGAAGTAGCACAGAGAATGGCCATTAGAATGTAGAGTGGACCCCTGAAGGCCACCATTGCGGCGCTCTGTAAGAAAACCAGGAGCTAACAGATGAGGGTTAAGCGTGAGATTGAAAAGCAAGTCCTGACCAGCATACTGCAGGTTGTAGAAAACGTGAGCCAGGCTTTCTGCGCTCTCCTCCACCTGCCTCTTTCGAACTCGGCTCACGCGATGGGACACAAGGTGAGAGATAAAATGTCCAGCTGAATCCACTCTCTGAGGGTGCACAACCTCATACTGGAGAAGCCCTTCAAGAGTGCTATCTGCAGAAGAGATTAAGAAAATGATACTCAGCAAAGAAAAGCAATTCACACCCACAAGCAGCCTACACTTTACTGCACTCGATGAAGGTTCCTCAGGTGTTCTTGGCTTGGAAGTATGATTTCAGGAAAAACCATATAATTGAACTTTTACGTTATGTGGAAGCTATTTAAACTTGAAAATCTCCATGAAAAAACTAATTTTCTTCACTATTTTAAAATAAAAAAGTTTGATACAATGCTTAAACGTGGTTGTAAAATGTACAGTTCACTTTTCAGTGTTTACAGTCCAAACACAGCCTGTTTTAAACGTATTGTTTTCATGATGCATTTATACGTATATATACGTATACGTTTATGTTTCAGTTCTGACTGATTTTTGAATGAGGACCAACACAAGGCAGCTAATCAGAAAAGTCATTTATATATTTCAGTCTTAAAGGCACAATAGAAAAAATAGGAAAAACAGTCTGTTTAAGATTCAAGGATGAAGAGAGTTGGAAAATAATCATGTTAAATTAATTATGACACATGGTACATAAAACCATACAGAAGGAAATAAAATACAAGAATACTGTAGGATAAAGACCCTTCTTCACACTTATGCATAATATCTTGTTTACAAAAATGTCTTTAACCCCTTAAAATCCCAGGCGTATTCCATACTAAGGCTTATTATTCAGTAACTACATGGACTTTAGCACAAACTGGCTGAGATATTCTTAGGTTACAGAAGTGTGTAACATAAATGAAGTGTGTCCTATAAATGACACATACTGCACTGTACTTTATATCACTGTAAGCACAGGAGACTGCATATTGCTGTTGGATAAAATGGATTTGTTTTAGGTGCCTAGAGGCTAAGGCTGCCTCGCTGAAACATTATGAAACATCATGTTTATTCATGCTTTTCTCCCCAGGGCCAGTCAGAAGCTACTACTGTGTGTGATGCATGCTGTCAACTGAGAGCACTGTTCAAACTTTGCCCCAGATCTCATCAGCCAGCAGAGGGCAAGAGTGGACAAAGAGAAGATCCTCCACAAAACATTATAAAACTGGTCATAGAGCAGCAGGGATAGACAGCCTGCACAGTTAGAAACTAAACCTACAGTAATGCAGCCTTTACTTCAGGAGGTTTGTTAAGAAGCTCAGAAGTTTGAATGGCATCTAAGGACGTGGTACAAAGAAACATTTAGGCCTACAAGTTTCCTGTTAGTGTAGGCACTGGTGACAATGAAACAAAGAAAGGATGGAGCAGCATTTAATGCACTTGGCGGAACTGATCTAAAATAGTCTGATGAACACAATGGCACTAAGAATAGAGGATCTGCAGAATGGTTTCTTAGGCATGACATAATACATTTAGCCAGATATCCATTCACCTTTTATTCAGTGCTTTCAAAGCAGACGTTACTGCATAAGCAAACTAGTTATTCTACTTAACTCATACATTAAAAAGTGTTGGCCTGCCTGAAGACTGAAGAATTTGAATAGAATATACTGTGAAGAACTCGGAAACAATGAATGCAGCAAAACTCCTTTGTGGTCAGCAGGATTTGTCTGTTCATTCAAGCCAATGATAATGAGTTTCCACACAATACCCCCCCCCCCAAAAAACTTCAGAGCAGACTCCTAGCTCACCTGTGAGCTGCTCACTTGCCTCTGCACCCTCCAGAATGGACACAAGTCCAGCTGTAACTAAAAGGTGAAGAAGAGAAAAGGCTGACCCAAACACGCCCGATCCACGGTCCGAGGAAAGCATCATATTGAAGCAAGGCAGGCTGGTTCACTCAAATCCGTCCATCTGCTACATCCAGAGCCATTTTTAAAGCGTCCTGTGTTCTGGATCACATCGTTCAGTTTAACAGGGCGTTGCGGGGTCGTGGAAGCCCAGTTGTGAAAAAAAGCTTCTCACGTCCCATCAGTTTGAGCCATACCAGCCGGAGTGAAGCCTGACGGGTCAGTCTGCTGGACGCTCCTGGGGCCTCCACAGCTGCTGGTTCTCCGGACTGCAGCTTGCGGCTTTCAGCCCAGGACAAAACTTTCTTCCACGAATGAAACTTTGAGCTCCGCCTCCTCGCCGGGAGAGGGCGATAAGGGGGGGGGGGTCGAGATGAACAAAAGAATGAGCCACAGCTCCTCCGTACGCTGCATGCTAAGGAGCCATTCATTCAGCTGAAGTCTGTTTAATGGGATGATAAGCAGTTGTAATGTAATGTGACGGTTGCGTGATTGAAACAGTGAGCTACTCCCCCAGTTCTCGTCTTTCCACAGCACTTCATGTTACTTATCGTTACTGACAGGCCTGATATGTGACGCTATTAATCCTGTTTGCTGCCGAAGTGCTTCGAGGCTCCTCAGCCTGCACTGTAAAACATGTAAACGCTGAAAGGCAGTTTTATATTCAGAGTAGTTGGCATAGTATTGAGAATTTAATGCACTTCTCTATATTCGACCTTTTTATCAGGCCTGCTTTGAGTTCACTCTTTTTTGTGATGTCGCGAAAACCAGCACATTCAAATCTATCCACTATAGGTTATATGGATAGTGGATAGATTTGAATATTAAGAAGAGCCACTTTGTCCTTTCAATAAAAACCGACCCACCTTGGGAACCACAACATTTTATATCCATTTCACCATCTTGGCTGTAAATATGTCTCAGTATGTGCTAATGTGTTAGCACAGGCTAAAAATATAATAGAAAGGAAAACGCAGACTTAACTTACTTTGCTCTGCTTTAAGCTTTAGCTCAGCTATAGCCGCTTTTCTCGTGTCTTTGGCTGGAAACTTTTCCTCAAAAGTAGAATATTTTCTTGTAAAATGTCTCTCAAAGTTCGACTTTTTACGAGGCTGAAGTCGCTTCTCATTCACCAGCTTCTTGTTCGACTTGTCCCGTTCCACCTTAAATGATGCCTGAGGCGCCAGAATGTAACTGCAGGCACCATTTAAGGTCGAATGAAAAATTCGAAAGAGTTGACTTTTTAGTGTTTGACAGTTTTTCGTTGCAGATTAAACGTATAAGGAAACCAACTGGAGTGATTATAAAAGTCCGTTCGTCACCAAACTATCAATGTTTGTCTTAAATCTTTGTCTTTTCGTTACCTACTAGCTAGCTACGCGAGACTGTCTGCGTTGCTATAGTGACCAGCAGTCTGCGCGCCAATTTTCAGGGTTAAAGGTTGGTGAATTAATTAATCCGCTAAACAGCAGTTACGCATTAATTCCAGCGTTTAAAACCATTTATTGTTAAAACTGTGTTAGATTTTATTTTTACCTAGAAATCTGATTCTGCTGTGGAGCCGCAGTAAAAAAGCTGCATGTTGCGACCACTGACCTGTTCGGTCAACAGCAGTTTAGCTCCGCCCATTCGCGCTGAAGTTCTAAGAATTGTTTCAGCTGGGACTTCTTTTTTGTACCAGGCAGAATAAAAGCTAAAATATATTTAAAATATATAAGTCTTAATGATTTTAACCAAAACGGCTTGTATTCATTTGGTTAAAAAAAGTTTATGGAAAAATGGTTTATGCCTGTTTGTGGAACATAAACCCACAAAAACCTCATAAGTGGTCTTCAGAAGTGCAAAGGTAAAATGCAAAGTGATACGAGACCTTTATTGTCCAGATCTGCGAAGTGGTCCATAGATTTTTTTTCAAATCGATCAAACCATTTGGCTAAAAAAAGGGTGAGTTTTACTACTTTCACAGACATGAACATAAAAAAATACATGAAATCAAAAAAATAACAGAGGCTCTGTTAGATGTTGATGCAGGGTAGAACTGTGCAAAATTCCATTTATCCATTAAATGATTTACTCATAAGTTGTTACTAAGTCAAACATAAGTTATTGCATGTTTATTTATTTATAACCTTATTCAATGTGTTGTTTACTTACACAAGCTTACTTGGCCTTGAAGGTTTAGAAAGTGGATCCAGTCCAGAGGTTTATGAGATGGGTGGGTTTGTTTTTGGGTTTGGATGAGTGGGTTTCAGTGACACAATGTTCAAAAGTAAGCTTTATTTATTTATGGTGGAAAAGTATCACTTCTAGCTGTTGGCTTTATCTGGGAATGTTTGAAACAATGTAGGTCTGAGGTGGAAGGTATAGAAGTCAACATGACACCTGAATAGTTGCATGACTCGTTGCACAAATAGTATAAAATGAATGATAAAGACATAAAATGAATGATAAAAGTAAAAGCAAAATCTTTACCAAACTGCCTCCATTTAATCTCTTCAAATCATGTCATTTTACATATCATCACTGTCCAAAGAAAAACTCCAAAGTATCTCCAAAATGGTCAGTTTACAGTAAAGAGTCAAAACGTTCTGTACTTTCAATGTTAATTAATGTAAAGAAATTTTATTCTAAGCAGCTTTGGAGCATTTCTGCTGGTCCGTTCATGGTGAAATTTGACATGATGTAAAGGACAGCTGCTGTGCTTAAATGACATTGATATAATTTTGTAATTTTTAGCTAAGTTCATAATTTTGCTACTGCCGTGCTGACAGCATGTGAATATACACTCTCAAAAAAAGGGTGAACAGTCAATGGGGCAGTGCCTTCTCTTGTCACTGGGGTGGCTCCCCTTTAAGGGTACATCTTCAGTATTTTTAGTTATAGAACTGTACCTTATTTCATTGCAGTTATATTTTTCACGTCATACTGACTCCACTCACCCTGTCTGGTCTCCAGCTTTTTAATATTATTGTCTGTTTTAAAACATTACGCTATAAAAAGTATAAATATATATGAAAAAAAAACTTTCACAGTTGTACCTTAAAACCATTGTTGTACTTTTGAGGGAACATTCGCAGTGTTTGCACCCTAAAAAATGTACCAGCACAGTACCTCCTCCTCTAACAGTGCATGATGACACTCAGTGTGCTGTTATTATGGAAAAAAAAAAACATTTGAAATGCCCTCAGATGCCTTACTTCAAGGCTTATCCAGCCCCAGCACTGCATCACTTAAAGAGGTTGGGGGCGTACTCCCTTCCGAAAAAAGAAAAAAAAGACACTCTGTAAAAATGAACTGGCAACAGCATGAAGAAAACATTCAGCGCTCTGGCTTTGTTTATGTTTAACTGTTTGTAAACAAAGGAGATGATCCTCATTTGTGCTCATCATCCAGTTGTTCTTGGGCGTCCCTCATTTGGCATCTACAATATGCTTCCTAACAGAATAAATGCACCCATGCAAAGGATTTGATGTGAACAGAAGGACTTCAGAAATCCCTTCAAATCTTTTCAGAACAAAACACTGCATTTTACACACTGCATTCATTAAACGGCCTGTCTTATCATCTATACCCACCAAATCTTTCACGCACAGAACAAACCCTGACTGGGGGAAACGTATCCACACCTACTGCCTGGTTCAAGCAAAGCGCACCATATATAGGCTGTGACAGGGAGTGATGCGCTGTGGATAGTTTCCTGGAAATCCGCAGTTCTTTATGTTCGTCTTCTGCCGCCTAGTGGCCGCAAAGGTGCAGCGCACAGACTGAGTTCAACGTGCACTCATAAGCGATGCGTTTCATTGAAGAAAGACTGAGTGTTTTTCTCTGGAAACTATTAAGAGAGGTGATAGAGCAGTCTAAACCCATCCTTAAGTGAAAGTTACTATTCTGTGAATGATGCATGTAAAAAAGCCAAAAAACAAACAAACAAACAAACAAACAAAAAAGATATTCAATGTATGTACTAATAAGCACTAAGTTAAACTTACTTACTACTTACTACCCATATCTGACTAAATATGAAGGGTTTGGTTGTATTTTTCACAAGTTATTTTTCAATGCATAATTATGGCAACACATACAAGAAAGATCTATGCTATAGTATTATAAGTAATACTCTATAGCTGTGATTCACATATATACAATGATCAGCCATAACATTAAATCCTTGTATCTACATTCTAGTCCATTTTATCAGCTCCACTTACTATATAGGTGCACTTTGTAGTTCAATTACAGACTGTAGTCCATCTGTTTCTCTGCATACTTTGTTAGCCCCCTTTTACCCTGTTCTTCAGTGGTCAGGACCCCCCAGGACAGAGTAAGTATTACTTGGGTGGTGGATCATTCTCAGCACTGTAGTGACACTGATGTAATGGTGGTGACTAGTGTGTGTTGTGCTGGCACGAGTGGATCAGACACAGCAGTGCTGCTGGAGTTTTTAAACACAAAATTCACTGTCCACTCTATTAGACACACCTACCTTGTTGGTCCACCTTGTAGATGTAAAGTCAAAGACAGTAGCTCATCTGTTGCTGCACAGTTTGTGTTGGTCATCCTCTGGTCCTTCATCAGTGGTCACAATGTGCTGCCCACAGGACCCTGAAGGTTGGATATTGATGGTTGGTGGACTATTCTCAGTCCAGCAGTGACACTGAGGTGTTTAGAAACTCCAGCAGCACTGCTGTGTCTGATCCACTCAGACCAGCACAACACACACTAACACACCACCACCACGTCAGTGTTACTGCAGTGCTGAGAATGATCCACCACCCAAATAGTACCTGCTCTGTGAGGGTCCTGTGGGGGTCCTGACCGTTGTAAAACAGGGTGAAAGGGGGCTAACAAAGTATGCAGAGAAACAGATGGTCTACTAGAGCTGATAAAATGGACAATGTGAGTAGAAACAAGGTGGTTTTAATATTAAGGCAGCGTATTTATTGGCAAACAAACAATTGTTGAATGTAGATCACATTATATGGTTGTTATTAGAACATGTTTATAACCATATAGCATGTTTACCTTATTTTAAGCCAAGTGAGATGGTCCTCCAGCACTGGCAGATCATTTATTATCTTTCAAGAAACAGTGTTTAACAAGTACAGCTGTGATCATTTCATTTGACACGATGACTTAAAAAGAGTGAAAATGGCCATAAACGCGTTAAATCGTATTATGCTATTTCACAATGAGAAGCATTAGATATTGAATATCTCAGGGCTGCTTATGTGTGTATATCTGTACACAGAATGTTAGATTATAGCAGAAAGCTGACTGACTGCCTGGCTGGGCTGAGCGTAGCTTCATTGTAAACCGTAACTGTCAATCACGCCGCTTCGTCCAATCCCCGCTCTCTGTGGGCGGGGCCATGAGCGCGGTTTCTCATAAACCAGCTCGTCAGCTCGGAGAGCCAAAAACAGACTCTAGACCGAAGATGCTTTAGCAGCTGGACAGTCCGAGTGACACTGAAGGCTCCTCGCTTTGCTATGCAGTCAGTGGACACTCCGGTGCTGGCCAAGGCGCCCGCTGTGGCGCTGTTCGCGGACAGGATGGGGGACGGGGTGAACCAGAGCGGCTGGCCGACGGCGAACAGAAGTTTGGCAGAGCAGCACAAGTTCAGCAGCCTGGAGGACATCGACGTGTCGGCGGACAGCAGCCCCGCGCTGAGGATCATCATCTCCACCGTGTACTCGGCCGTGTGCGCCGTGGGGCTCGTGGGCAACCTGCTGGTGTTCCTGCTGATGAAGATCAAGCAGGGGCGCAAGACGAACGCGGTGAACTTCTTCGTGGTCAACCTGGCGGTCACGGACTTCCAGTTTGTGCTCACGCTGCCCTTCTGGGCCGTGGACACGGCGCTGGACTTCAGCTGGCCCTTCGGAGACGCCATGTGCAAGATCATCCTCTCGGTCACCGTGATGAACATGTACGCCAGCGTCTTCTTCCTCACGGCCATGAGCATCACGCGCTACTGGGCCGTGGCCTCCGGGCTGAAGCGCCGTGGCGCGCGACGCAGCGCGGTCTCCGTGAAGTGGGTGTGCGCCGTGCTGTGGGTTTTGGCCACCGTGGCCACGGCGCCCACCTCCGTCTTCTCCACCGTGACGGTGGTGGCGGGAGAAAAGCTCTGCCTCCTCAGGTTCCCGGAGGGCCATCGCTGGCTGGCGTTGTACCACCTCCAGAAGATCCTGGTCGCCTTCATCCTGCCCATGACCATCCTCTCCATCTGCTACCTGCTGCTGCTGAGGTTCATCCGCCGCAGGGGCATGAAGAGCAGCCGCCCGAGGAGGAGATCCACCGTGACCAAGTCGGTGACGGTGGTGGTGCTGTCCTTCTTCATCTGCTGGATGCCCAACCACGCCATCACGCTGTGGGGCGTCCTGGTGAAGTTTAACGCGGTCTACTGGGACAAAACGTATTACCTGGTCCACACCTACGTGTTCCCGCTGACTGTGTGTCTGGCTCACGCGAACAGCTGTTTGAACCCAGTGCTGTACTGCTTAATGCGCAGAGAGTTCAGGAAGATGCTGAAGAAGCTCTTCTGGCGCTTCTCCTCACCTGCCATGTCCGGCGGAGGCGCAGCCATGAACCCGGAACGGGACGATGCGCGCGCTCGAATCCCTTTAAACACTATCGACACCGAAGTCTGTCACATATCCAGCCCGCCTGCACAGCTGCTGCCATCGATCGCTCCGTATCCCTCTCACCACCACCGCGCGCTCTCGGACTAATGACTCTGCTGAAGCAACAATGATGTGATACAGCGGATTTGCCAAAATGGTGAATATAAGTGGCCTGTCGTGGAAAAAAGATTGAAAATTATTTATTGATTGATTGATTTGTTTGTTTATTATACACAAAGACGTTCTTCATCTCATCTGGTCGCCTAAATGTGGGTTAAACATGTACCGAGAGGAAACATCTTTAAATATGAATGAATGAATTAATTAGTTTGTTTATTTATTATAAATAAAAGCATTCTTCATCTGATCTGGTCGCCTAAATGTGGCTTAAACATGTACCGAGAGGAAACGTCTTTAAATATTCATTCATTCATTCATTCATTCATTCATTCATTCATTTATTTATTTATTTATTATAAATGAAAGCCTTCTTCATCTGATCTGGTCGCCTAAATGATGGTTAAACGTGCACCGTTGTGAGAGGAAACATCGTCAAATATTTACTTGTTTATTTGTTATAAATAAAGGGATTCTTCGTTTGATCTGTTTGCCTAAATGTTGGTTATACATGTCCCTTTATGAGGAATATATTTTTAATTTTTTATTTATTTATGTATTTATTCATAGAATCGTTCTTCATCTGATCTGTTTGCCTAAATGTTGGTTAAACATGTCTGGTTGTGAGGAATAAAATCTATTTTAAATGATTTATTTATTTATTCGTTATAAATAAAGGGGCTCTTCATCTGACCTGTTGCCTAAATGTTTATTATAAATGACCTGTTGTGGTGAAAGATATTTGAAATATTTATTTATTTATTAAAAATTAAAGAGGTTCTTCATCTGATCTGTTGGCCCGAATGTTGATTATAAGAGGCCTGTTGTGGGATTATTTATTTGTTTGTTTACTAATTAATTTATTCATTTATTTATTCTTTTTGTTTATTTCACTTCCTGTCTCCTTCCACACAAGCAGTTTTGAGGTGTAGCTTTTTTATCACTGACTGGCATCTTGAGGAAACCACTGAAGTCATAGCCTAAATGATTGTTTTTGAATATGGTACAGTTTTGTGTCTCCTTTCCCTGTAAATACACAAATATAATATAGGGTACTGAATTGAATACTGAACAGAGTACTGAACAGAATACTGAAGAGAGTACTGAACATAATACTAATCAGTGGTGAACAGTGCTGAACATAATACTGAACAGAGTACTTAACAAAATACTAACCAGTGGTGAATAGTACTGAACAGAGTACTGAACAGAATACTAAACAAATGCTGAACAGAGTGCTGAACAGAATAATGAACCAAATATTGAACAGAGCACTTAAAATAGTACTGAACATAATACTAAACAGAGTGGTGAACAGTACTGAGCATAAAACTGAACACAGTACTGAACAGAATACTGAACAGACTGCTGAACAGGATACTAAACAAATACTGAACAGAATGCTGAACAGAATACTGAACACAGTACCAACTAGAGTACTGATCAGAATACTGAATAGAATATGAACAGGATATTGAACAGAATACTGAACAAAGTGCTTAACAGAATACTGAACAGAGTACTGAACAGAACACTGAACAAAATACTGAACAGAAAACTGAAAAGAGTACTAAACAGAATTCATTTTTATTGGTCCATTCATCATGAAATTCTGACTCAATGTAAAGGACAGTTTCAAATTCCTTCAAAATATGACATATGACAAAAATGAAGATACAAGCTTTCGTCCCCTCAATGATGACATGTACTGCATGTGAAGCCAAGCGATGCTGAGGTTGTGAGTTTAAGCCTCACAAATCAAGAGTGAAGAATGTGATGCCATGAATATTTCAAGATGCAAGATGAGAAATACCACTCACTGTCTGATTGCACCACTGGAGGTTGCGGCAGGGTATCAAGCCTGATTTACAGGATGTGATGTGCATTACAACTGGAATGTGATGTAAATTACATCGTGAACATCTTTTACAGAGAAACTTTAGAGCTCATATGAACTCACAGTCATAGAGAGCTTCCTTTCTTTGATGAAGATACACTGTAAATACCATTGTGGTATAGACCTGTAACAATAATTTCATAATCAGTTAGCCTTCCTCCTAACAAAGAACCTTCAGCATTGTTCTGAGCTCACAATCTTGATTTTTGTCAGGGTGCATAAGTACTGCAATCAAGGTCTTCTGTATCATGTGAATGTAGAGGCAGGCGTGCTGGAACTAAACGGTGCAGGGCCCAGTTTCCTAAAAGAATCTTAAGGTTAAGATCATCTTAACTTGTACAGAGAGTGTTTAGGGTGCTGCTCACTCTACCATTTAAGAATCATCTATGTGCTTTCGGCCCAGCTCAAGATAGTAGACTTATCTCCCTGGATGTATGTTCTGCATCCCCTCATTAAAGTGATTTTGTGCAAGCGGTCTGCACACCATGCCTTGTAGCAGAATGCATATCCGTGCACACTACCAAATGCCACTCACTCTGTTCCAGGCGAGGCTCAAATTCACAGCCTAGTCCCAGCTTTACTTGCACTGCTTTATGAGTACCATGTGCTGACTGACTGATCCACTAGAGCATGTGACAATGCTTCATCAAGCCTGATTACCTGGATGTGACACACAGTTTTTGGCTCTAAGCTTGACATCAGAGGCAATTTAAGAGGAGCCTGTCCAATTCACATTTCTCCCATTTTATCAAAAAGTGATTGCAAAATGCTAGAAGGCACTTAGTGATTAGGGTCCTTAGTTAATAGGGTTGAATGAAGCTAAAGTAATAAAAATGAAAAATGAAACTTTTTTTAGCTGTTCATGTCCACAATTTTGCAGTCCTGTACAGCTGATTTTCATCTATGGTAACATTATTACTAAGAGACTTTACATGTTAAAAACAAAATTATGTTTTTAGTTATTTTACATTAATGCAGGTGCTCCCATGCATATTGATCCTGAATGCCCACATCATGGCCCAATCCCATTTCACCCCTGCCACTTAGCCCTACCCCTCCATTTTGCACGTTCACGTCTAGGGACAGTGTGCCCTGATTCCTGTTGAGATTGAGGGGTAAGGCAAAGTGTTAGGGCTACATGGCCCTCCAAATGGAGGTTTTTAGAGGCACAGTCCAAACAGAGCGTTATGAGAAAAAAGGAAAAGCCACCATGATGGCTGCACAAGCAACCAAAGAAACACACAATTGTGAATATTTTCTCAGTTCAAAAATTACAACAACCATTGTATTGTCTTAGTTTAAAGTCCTTTCAATGTATTATAGTCATTTTCGCTAATAGTATGCTGATATATCGTCAGCTAGCTATCTAAATTTCCCATTCCACCTTAAATGGTGCAGCAGTTACATACTAGTGCCTCAGGCACCCATTTAAGGTGGATTGGGAAACTTCGAACAGAAGATTTGAAGTCATATACATCCCAAAATGTAACTAAAGCCCAGCAGTGAGGTTGCTGAACTTTACCCTCCTCTGCTATCACTGCAGACTGGCAGGGTTGTCTACAGAGCAGCACTAGTAGCCTGTTAATAAAGTAATGTTCTTTTTTATTTGAGGGTCCCGTTTCATAGGGGAAGATTTCAACCACTACCCCTTGTAACTCAGTTCCAAGGGGCAAGATGACTCTCGAAAACAAAGGGGAGGGGTAAAAATAAGAAATGGGAATGGGCCCATGTCTCATGCTCATCACCACTGTAGCTTGTGGTGAGTAGTAATATAATGTGTTTAAGGTACTTGCTAATGTGCACATGGGCTGATTAGGAAGGATTAAACCTGGTGGATGTTTTCTGATTCAAAAAGAAGTGCTTTAAGTGCCAAATTCCTGTCTATCCATTTAGTGATGTGTGATATAGTTTTTAACTTCCCGTTCATAAAGATAATCATGCTTCACCAAACTTGTCAGAGGCAGATTGTTTGTAGTCCAGACATGGATTTTTAGCGCCATCTTAAGGTAGCCTTAATTGTGACTACATGCAAACTTATTCTATTTAATGCCTGTGACACAATTAAGCCCCACCAGGTGAGGCTTAAACTCAAAATCTCAGCATGGCTTCACTTCCACTTCTATATAATTACAGGTCATGCACAGTACTTAAACTAAAACAAGTGAAGCTATGCCAAGGTCATGAGTTTGAGTCTCACCTGGGGCAGAAAGTGGGTGTTTTATCTGTACACCTCAAGAAACTCCATCTCTGAAGATCTTAGTTCCAACACACCTGCCGCAAACATTTGCATAATACTCAAGAGACTATCAGTGTTGAGTGGGTTAGATTTTTCCAAGCTGAACTCTAATCTCCAGGAGCAGCACTAGGCCACCATAGCAGGACCTGTAACGGCTCCAGTGGCGCAATTGGTTAGCGCGTGGTACTTATAAAACAGTACAAATGAAGCCATGCTGAGGTTGTGAGTTTGAGCCTCACCTGGAGCAGTGGTTTTAAAAGATGCCTAGTGTGCCCAGTCCTGATCCTGGAGATCTACCACCTTGCATTGTTTGACACCAGCTCTAATCTGACACACCTGATCCAAGTAAGGAAGGGCTTCAGCAACAACCCAAGCTTGAAATCACTAAACCACTCATGCCTCATGAAGGTGGAGCTCCAAGCAGAGGTAATGCAGTTGTCAATGTTGTCTGCCCAACAACAAGGCTATGGTCAGTGTTTTTGATGTTTCAAGATTTTGAGTACATGCATTGAGCTTATAATCTTGATTCTTTTCAGGTTTTCCGTATCATCTGAATGTAGAAGCAGGTATGCTGGACACGAACTCTGCAGGATGGTAAATCTCACTGGAAAAAAACGGGCATACCACTTATTAAAGCGATATTATGCAATCGGTCCATGCGTCATTTTAATTCAAACGAATAGCCACGTGCTGTGTTATGGCCCTGGTAAGGTGTTGACAATTGACCTTCACCCATGGCATGTTCACTTTCACAATTTCAAGATGAGAGCTGAATTCCTAATGACTAGTGGACACTACATGACATTCAAAAGTGCAGAATTGGCAACCTGTGGTTTTTTGACATAGCAAAGTACGCAA